TTGTATAGCTCCTGAATCAAATACATGCAAATAGAATCTCACTCACTTTAGATGATGCATCAAGACCTTTCTGTTTTACTGATATATTCTACGTAAAACTTGTTTTATGTTTGCTATTGTGTTAATGATAGATCAGCAAGTTTTTTGGTATTTTGTTGCATATTTCAATGACCATGAATAATGTTGTGCTAGGGACCAGTGTTTTACAGCACCCTTCCGTGCCGGTATTGTCATTCAAGTCCCACCATCAATAACTGATTTATTTTTTGTTTTTCAAGTAGCAAGTTATATCATCATATATGCAGTTGTGAAATTGATTTCAAATGATGTTTATGAAAAGATTTTATTTTTTTCATGGTTTGATGGTTGAATGAACTTTGAAATATTTTCAGTTCCAGATAGTTGCTGTAATGTGTAGGATGCTGCTCGTAAAGCTGGTAATACAAACTGTTCATTGTTTATGGCTGTGTACATTGCCGTTAAGGTGGGTGTTCTGTCATGTCTGAGTTGTAAAGTGTGATATATATATATATATACAAATATATATATGAAAATAAAATTGTTGATCTTGTCTTAACAATGTGTTGCATTTGATTATCAGAATATTAGATGCTTTAGATGTTTAGCCTTTGTCATCTTAGGATGGGATTAATATCTCATAATCAGATTATTTACTTCTGACAAGATACCTTTCTGCATGAAGATCTGATTTTATGTCAATCAGCATCAAGGCTACCAAATTCTTCATCAAGATTGAAAAAGGATTCAGACAATTCATGCCGGTCTTCAGGACATAACAAGGGACTTCGAACTACCCCACAATAGAGCTCACCAATATATTTTTGTGAATACAATGTATATGATGCACCCTGTTGTTTCTGAATGACAGGACAACATCTACACCCAAAGACTTGTGGCAGGTAGATCTTGTGTTTGACCAGCTGATTTTATTTAGCACTACTTTTTTCAGGAGTTCTTGAAGAATTCTGTTGTAGCTTCTGAAGTCTGTTAGTATTTGTGGCACCCAAAACATTATATGTTATTTTAAAACACTGCAAGGGAGTACAATTGAAAGGTTAATTGTGTGATAATCCTGTGTGGATTTTCATTGGCACAAATAGACATTTCTGATTCAAGGTAAAGATATGAAAGTGGTCGTTAGTTAATTTGATGCAACATTCTAAGGGGAGACATCAAGACGTTTTGTATCTGAGTAACAAATCAGGTTTTAATAAGATTGTAGATAGGATGCTCTGGCACATTTATCTGACAGTTAAGTAATATAGGTTTGTCTGGTCCAGACTTAATTATCTACAAGCCTCCATCACACAGATGGAATATTGTGAGGTGGCATCGGTGAAACAAGTAGCAGCCTTACCTGTGTTCCTCTGAAAGCATAATACACTTGTTACATCCCCTGCTGGTACAATTCTATGACAAAGTCTGTGTTACAAGACAAGATTGTTTATTGGCACAAGTGAGGAAACTGACTTTACAACAGCAGTTATCACAGTTGTTCAGGACACCAGCCACAGGATTCAGACATCACGAAAACAGTTCAAACAAGACATATTGAATTTGATTTTGAAATCATATTTTACAACTCTAAAATAAAATAAGAAAAATTTTAAAAGATGATTGTTAAAGTTATGATACATATGGAATGATCTCGTGGAACTATTATCGCAGTCTGATGCCTGTTGAGCCAGATACCACAGGCACATGACAAATGTACATGTATCTGCTTACTTGAGAAGAAAAGTAACTTCATACATTACAGTCTATTAACAGTGACGTAACAGATAGAAAATATTCATGCAAGAAAATCTGACATGGACATTATTGAGTTCTCGATGTGTGCTTCTTTCCTACTAGCTGTTCTACTACAGCCACTGGAAGACTTGAACATGAATTGAATCCTGAAATATTCGCGACTGATTAATTATACAGAATATCATATACAGTAATGGCAAAATTTCAAAGCTTTCTTTTCAATTCCGTATCAGAGGAATGGCTTGTTTCACTTTACAAGTGAATATGCAGACACATCACTATCTGTTTTCATGATTCTACAGATGTACACTGATTCCAAGTATTTCAGGAACCACATCAAATAAATGTACAATATGTCAAATGGTCTCCCACAGTAGTAACTCTGCTATAAGGAACAAGATTCCATATTTTAGATCTCAAAACAGTGTTGCACTATATGATGGTGAGTTTGAATGGTACACAAGTCTCAGTTAATATCTGTCATGGACTTCACACTGGCTGCGTTCATACTGTATTACAATCTGGTTGAAATACATCTAAAGACTTTAGTCTAATATGAGATAATCATTTGATTATCATGAGTACATTATTTTCTTGAAGTGTGATCTCTTGTCATGTTGTTTCCATGAGACATGTTTCTGACAAAATCTTGACCAGTTTCAGTACTGACCTGCAAAACTATTGCTCCTCGTTGCCAAGAAACGATATGGTCAGATGCTTCTTCTGTATCCGTGTAGAGTATGTTACTATCACATATACCTCATATGTGAGTTAGTGTTAGGGTTTCAAGTGGGACATCAGGAAGTAGTGAGTGAGTGTGTACTGTTTCACGCCGCTTTTAGCAATATTCCAGCAACATCATGGCAGGGGACACCAGAAATTGACTTCACACATTGTACCCATGTGGGGAATCGAACCCGGGCCTTCGGCGTGATGAGCCATCAGGAAGTAACAACATGGCTGATAAAGAATGAGCTCCACAAATCAGATTCCTGACACAACACACTAACCACTTCATCAAGCTGGTGAGACATTTGGCAGAAGTATCACTGCAATATAATGACAGCGAAGAATAATGTGGATGTCAGTAATATCCACCACTACCTCTATCTATATAACCAGCCGATCCACTATCATCCATCTGTACATCCAGGTGAGACATACAACATGATATGATGTAAAACAAGACAAATAAAACCTATGGATCATGAAAACAATTATCAAAACATAACATGGTACATCTATAAAAATGAAAACTGAAAATTAGAAGTAAAAAAACATAAATGTCAAAACAAGCCATTTAAAAGTTAAGGATGTTACCGGTATATTAGGCATGACAATTTGTTTGTTTACAATCTGAATACCACAACATAAGTGTCCACACTGTCAGAAGATTAGTATATATCCCCAACATGTTAAGAAAGCCTTAAAGACCATTACAATTTAATATTCCATTTGGAAAGCTAAAGTATCTAACAGAAGTACTAATGCACATCTCTTTAAAATTGTTTTTTTAAAACTGAGAGGTGTCTTGAAAACAATCTTCATCATCAATACTTATGAAGACCAGAACTTTGTAGATAACATCAGGATGTAGATAATTAAGTAGGCGACAGGACATATATCATGAAGGGCAAGCAACTTTTGACCTATGTGATAGATGAAAACTGTATATTGTGTATAGTCTGTTTGCAGTGAAAACGTACCGATGAATTTCACTTTAAGCAAAAAAGTAAATTAAATAAAGTGAAATTAAGATTGCGAATCGTAATATTTTTACCTTGCCAATTGAATATTTAAATCTCAGAATCATATTCAACTTACGATAAAAGTTATTTAACAAACGATCATAGTTTCAAATCGCTATTATTGGTTTGTTCTACAAGGGGGTAAGGGACCGTTAATACTTTATGGCTAGAGGGGGTGATGATGATTTTAAGGGGGTCACCTATTTTGTTCTTGGGAGCTAGTGGGGTCAGCAATTTTGTACACACATACTAGGGGGGTCAGCAATTTTGTACACAAAACTATCTTAAAAATTATGCTTAGAAATTATGGGAAGTGGAGAGGGGGTAATTGATTTTGTACATGACATGCAGGAGGGGTCACTTATTTTGTACATAAATTTTAGGGGGGGTCATTCACATTGTACATGATTCTCCATAACAATCATCACCACCACCCCTAGCCATAAATTATGAACGGTTCCTAACGCAGTAGTTGAAACAGTGAAACAAATGCATGTGCGGTACATGATGAGCGTTAACTAAGATTAACCCTGCTTTTTCTCGGTGTTTCATTTAATCTGTAAACCCCCTTGTAATACAAACCAATATTAGCGATTTGAAACTATGATCATTTGTTAAACAACTTTTATTCTCAGTTAAATAATAAACTGAGATTTAAATGTTCAATTGGCAAGGTAAAATTATGAGGTTTCGCAATCTTAACTTCACTTTAGTCGATTTACATTTTTGTTAAAAGTGAAATTTATCGGTACATTTTCACTGCAAACAGACTATAACTGATCATGATGATCTGATGGGAAAACTCATAAAATAATAATTATGCAGCTCCAATCAAATCTCAAGGTTAAAGTTAACTGAACATGTAACACTACATCAAAATAGTCTTATGTAATATCAAAATATCTAGAAAGGAGTATTTCCACATGTAGACAATATCAAAGCCCAATCACAATTGGCATTTCAATTCAATGAAATGTAGCAATCAATTATTGTTTATTGCATGAGATGGTTTAAGTGAGTGGTGAAAATGTGACCCAAAACACTGTCTATATTACACATAAGGTGGCTAGAGATGAAAGTAGTTTTTGTGATTGCCACCGACCATGATGATGTTTGTTTCACGCTGACAGTCTACTTCATTCCAGCTGTTCAATTGTGTTCAATGTTTGCAAAACAGCAATAACTAACTGATGTCAAATGAACGCCAGATGAAGTCATCCATAACTCACGATGTCATGGCCAGTTTCATGTAAGTTATGATGTTGTTCCAACTATAGACTGTCCTGCTCATGTAACATAATAATCTGTCATTCTTCACAGGGTATGTACAAAGTATCTCTACGTAGCTTCTAAGTATCTCTACTTAGCAAAATTTACACAAAATATAGAAACACACTCATTCAAAATGCTCAAATTTATACCTAATGAATACATCTATACACAATTCAGTATAAAAATCATTCAACTCTGTGAGGAAGCTTTGCACTTTTTGGACAATTAAATGACAATAAATCTTAAACAGAAAATCAGAAGAAAACGTTGCCATGTGAACCAGACAGCCCCTAGACAGTTTCCCTCTCCAGTAACTGTAGTTCTCTAGTAACCTCTTGCACTAGGAGCTTCACACACTGAGGTAGATGACTCAAAATCACTCAAAAAAGTATATTATTATCCTCAAAATGTCTGATGTACAAACACATAGTGAAAACAGCAGAAAGAACTGTGGTGTTTAAGTATGGACCATCAATATCAGTACAGGTGCTGAATACAGTCTGTAATGGCTGCTCAACTGAAAAAAAAGTACAGACGTAGAAACCGGAGTTCTACATGTAACATTGTATGAGCTATGTTGTACTCAGTACAAATGTGGTGAATGTCAAACCATATGACAATCAGTAAACATCAACAAAACTACAAAGCCATATTTTTCAATGCCATTATATACCTCCTATGTCCTGCTATTATTTGTGAAAACAATCTGAAAGATACACACTGCCATGTCAAGTTTTAGTCTCAGTAGTGGGGGAGCTTAAACAGGCTACTTACAGATACAACTAGAAGCTGGTAAGGAGCAGGGTGTTTAATATGGTGAATACGGTACCTGTACTGTTGTAGAATAAACTATATCACAATCCAACTATGTACACATCAAACCATCAGCTGGGAAATGTTAAACATCAATTAATAACACTACTTTCTGTTTTGTCTACAATCCTGTACATTTGAGCACATATACCATATACAAGAGATGGGTGGAAACATTTCCCCTTTGAAGCTGTGAAAACCATGTAATATGAAATGTTCCAACAAAGTGATTGTCATGGCAAGTTAACCTACTCTGACATGATCGGCTTGTACTTGGCACCAGCAAAACTACAAAACAATCCTATTATGAGACTCAAAATTAAAACATAGTTTTTTTTATCTAAAAGTAATTAACATGTTCAGGCAAGAAACGTAATCAAAAACAAAAAGTATACAAAACTGACTGAGCTAAAAAACATGAAAATATGTTCAATTCCTATCTGAATATGAAAACAGATTTTCTACATCGCACAAAGCACAAAACAAGACTATGTACAAATAGATGTACCAACAAACAAAAGTAGAGGTGTTGACACATTTTCTGGAACAATTTTCACTTTTGCATTGCATAAAAAAGTACAACATGTCTTTTATCTTTTTGTACCATTACCACCATTTTCATAAAATATTCACCTCGGAACATCATCAAAGATATTCTCAACATAGAAGCATGTACTACAGTTCCATCATGTCAGACGTTTCAAGGCTTCTCTTTACAAGCCCACCTCACAGCAACACCAGCACTGTGGCTTGAGGTGCATAACATATCACATTCGCATACACACAGCTGAAAGCACGCAGTTACACGATGGTGACGTCCCTGGATCTATCACCGAATGCTGCTGGCTGTACAACAAGGAATGGATTCTCTCCCTTTAGTATTCCCACTCTCGAGGATCTGATTAAAAACAAAATTCAAATTCATCACAGAAACTAAAACCAGTGCATCTCAAACTGATTTTTACTGCAGCGATACGCAGTCTGTGGTGAAATATACTCATGGAAACAAATAAGGGAACGCATGAAAGCAAAAGTTTTCCTATATTCTTGTCCAGGTTTCTTCACATGCTTTGTGGGTGAAAAGTCAGAAAAACATAAAGCAACACATGTCCTTTCATTATTCGTTTCCATCAGTATACATGATTTCTTAATTTCATAACAACAAAGTATCATTTTTCAAATTAACCACATGCCCAGCATACAACTCTTCAACATCTCATTCATATCTGCAGCATAACTAGCTTGCCATGAGCTGGGACGATGCACAAACTCACATGTACCAAGGTGGTCACATCATGATACAATATCATAGTATCATACAAACATATCATCATCTGCATGCCATACATTCAAAATGTCCACTCAGTCTTCATCGCCAGGGATGCTGCCACCGTACTGTGGGTAGTAGTTAGCCAAACTAGCATATATCCTTTGACTGACTGATCTATTGTCTAGATTGGCCAAGGATCCTTGCTGTTGCATACAAAGCCATCATGCCTTAAGCAGATTTCTTTTGCAACATTATTGAAATTAATGCAGTACTGCACAAGCATTTCTGAGTACAGCCCGATAAAGGTCATGCAGCAACTGTGAAATATAAGTTTTCAAAACTTGCAAGGACCTAGGATAAGATAGGTGTATGTATGCAGTGTGCAAAATAGTTTCCAAAGTTTGCAAGCCAGTTGGGATAGCTATGCCTGAAAGTTACTAGCCCACAGAATAATTCACTAGTCCGACATTTGAATGTAGACACAGGTTTCATCATTAAGCTGCTAATATGATGAACATGTTCATCAGGCCATAATGATGCATGATTTAAAAGTGTATATTTTTCCTTATCCTGACTCATGATTATTTGCTTTCTCATCCTCTCTTCCGAACGGTCAAGTGGAAACTTGAATCCTTTCAATTCCCTTGAAGCGAACATACAATCACTCACCCTTTATTACCTCCCCTGGTTTCCCGCCAAAACCTGGCACGTGACCTCCCATGCCTTGGTCCTCACTCTCTCCTCTATCGCCCTAGCGGACGGTTGGACGGTCACTTCAGGGTCTTTTCGCGGCGTATAACTTAAAAAGTTTTGGAATTATAACACAAATTCTGCCGTGAATGTGTTTATTAATATATTATTCATCATATTATTAACAAAATTTGTACATTTCATGTCAAATTAATTCACGTTTTACTCCGTTTTCAGACGACTGTTTGCTTACATTTTGCAAGTGTAAACAGTGATTCAGCACGTCTCTACGCTTGAATTACACTCTGGTGTCCTTCTTGTCTGGTTTATGAGTTGAATATGTCTTGATGTTGATTATTCTGTATAATCATATGGGTATATATTGAATTTATGACCTTATATATTAATTGAATTGTGAAAATTTACTTGTAAATTTTTTCACATGTGATTGCTAATTTGATTCTAATATTTCACAACCTGTTGGTACAGTTAACCAGACTGCGTGAGAAGGTGATACAGTCGTGAGAATTGTGAGTTGCTGTGACTACGGCTTGAGCTGTGCTGATATATGATGTCATCCCAGCCTAAGTCTGCGACGTCACTCGTACGGGAGAAGGTATCTTCACACACTGTAAGTAAAAGGAAGTCCCCTCCGGCAGAGAAGGCATCACAACATAAGAAGAGCAAGACGAAGCAGTCATCATCATCCAGGCGCTCATCTAGATCGTCCCAATCTGGTAAATCGGCGAGATTGGCGCTACATACATCTATGCAGCGTCTATCAACAGATATTGATGTGCCTGGCGCTGAAGCAGATGGTTCCAGCTTCGGCAGTCCTCGAGTGTTGCAGCCGGAGATTTTCCTTTCAGCGTCGCAGAGATCTTCCAGTCCTGAGATACTGTCATCGCAGATTAGAAGCATGACATCGCCGATGTCATCGTTGCAGTCTACCGAGAGCAGTTATGCAGATAGACTATCGAAAGTTACTCACTTTCACGCAAGCAGTCTAATGAAGCCGTTGCAGAACCAGAGACAGCAAAACGCTAACCCGTCTACGAGGCCGACAGGCGAGACAGTTGCAGTAATCCCGCAGCAGCATCCGGTGGTCAACGCTGACCACAGGGTGATGCAGGCGATGGAGATGAGGCTAGACGGGAGAAGAAGCAGACGGCTCTTGAGAGCAGCGTTGCAGCAGACGAGATAATGGCAGACCGGTCATTTACTACGTCGTCAGCAGTCAACGTAGACATCTCACATCAAGGCCTGGCAGATGTAGTACAGCATACTGAAGAAGATGATGCCATCTTCACTGAAGCTGAGGTACTGGCGTGGGTGGCTGATGGTCTCCCGTTATCGTCCCCGGCTAGAGACGCTAATCCCGGCGGAGACGTACTGTATGAAGGATGATGACTACGAATCAATTACTATCCCGCCAATGAAGCCCATTGCGCAGGTTTCAGACAACCTGAAAGCAGCCTTCGAGAAGGCCTCGAAGACACAGGGGAAACATACCTGATAGGGGCAGTTTAACCCTAGCCTTCTACGGGTTAGCCAGATCTAGAGCCATCAACGAAGCATTGATGTACGCCTTCAAGAATCCTAAGACGGAAGAAAAAAAGATGATCAAGTCTACCTTAGTGGTCCAGTGCAAACATCAGGAATTTATCTCCGATCACTTGGCTTCTACATCGGCGGGCATCACCCTTTTACGTCGACAAGGGTTGCTGAGTTCCAGTACGTGGCCAGATGTCTACACCAAGCCTTTACTAAGGAAGCCTTGGGCAGTGCCTACCCTGTTTGACGGCGGCATCCGGCAGTTGTCACGTGAAGTATCTCAAGACTCCAAAGACTTGATGTTGATCAAGTCCGTACAGACGATGAACACCATGGTGTGTCAATCAACTCAGCGTAGTCAACTAAGATCCCATTTCTCTGGTATTCAGAGAGCCAAAGAGAAGAAGTTTGCGACTTCACGTGGCGGCAACATGGGATCTTTTCGTCGTCCCAGTAACGTCAGAAGTTACTCAGGCCGAGGCAGGATCTCCAGCAGTGGCAGAAGATCCCGTTACTGAAGAGAAGGTTCGGAGCGACTGGTCGCTTCCACCCCCAGCCGTTCCGGTACAACCGTCATCCGTGGGTGGACGTCTGGGACTATACTTGGAAAATTGGAGAATACTACAAGACGATTACGTCACAGAAGTCTTACGAGAGGGCTACAGCATCCAGTTGCAGTCGACACCACCGTTGACAGATCAACCGTGGGTCTTCAAGTACCTGAAACTACAGCGAGACAAGCTCACCGAAGCTATCGAGATGTTGGTGGTAAAAGATGCAGTAGAGGTAGTCAATCAACGCGGACTGACGCCCAGGAATTATTCTCCAATTTTCCTGGTACCAAAGAAGAACTCCCAAGAGAAGTTCCGTCTAATCTTCAATATGAAGAGCTTCAACAAGCATTACCTGTTCAAGTTCAAGATGTTACATCTGCCTCAGCTGAGACATCTTATCCGACCCAACGACTTCATGGCCACCATAGATCTGCAAGATGCCTATCTGCATATACCAATACATCCAGAATCACGGCAATACCTGAGATTCCTGTTCGAAGGTCGTCATTACCAATGGAAGGTACTGCCATTTGGAAGTTTGTCGGCCCCGTGGTTATTTACGCGAATAACCAAACCGATTATCGTTTATCTCCATCAGTGCCTTCTACCTAAATGACGGCATCCAGGCACATCAAGATGCAGATGAACTCAAACTACAACTGCAGTTTACGATCAACCTATTGACACAGTTGGGCTGGCTGGTGAATCATCAGAAGTCGGAGTTGGAGCCGTCCCAAGATCTACAATTCTTAGGCATCAGATTCCTGACGTCAGAAAATCGCATTCTGGTGCCAGACGACCGATGGCAGAACATCCAGTCGTACATACCAGACGCTCTCAACAATCCACTAGACTTGAGAACGTGGCAGCGAATTTTGGGTTTATTGACGTCGGCACAGGCTCTCACCCGCAGAGGAAGATTACAACTTCGTCCGCTACAACGGTTCCTGATAGCGCATCTAGACGATGTCCAGAAGTTTGCCATCCCACAACATCTAAAGCAAGCCTTGCTTTGGTGGACAATAAAGTCGAATGTTTGCGGTGGAACCTATTTGAGAGAGCCAAATTACAACAGACATCTCTACGTGGATGCGTCCCTGCAAGGTTGGGGGGGCACATCTCAACAACGAAGTTATGGCAGGGCGGTGGTCACAAACAGAGAAGGGTCTGCACATCAATCAGCTGGAACTGAAAGCAGTAATAGAAGCAGTACTACATTGGGCAGCGCAATTAAAGAATCAGGTACTGATGATACACACAGACAACTCCTCGGTGGCCTTTTACATAAATCTGCAAGGGTCCACAAGATCAGCGCCGCTGCTTCAACTGACGTTCCAGCTATTCGACATCGCAGACAAAATCAACCTGAAGATGAGGGCTTGCCACATCCCAGGGGCAAAGAACATCTTAGCAGATGCTCTATCCAGACCAGTACGGCGATCTCTCACAGAGTGGAAGTTACATCCGGAGGTGTTCCAGTGGATAACAGCCCAACTAGGCTGTCCTCACATAGACCTGTTTGCGACTCGCTTCAACAATCAGGTGACAACATTTGTCTCGCCAGTGCCAGACCCGCTGGCATGGGCTGTCGACGCCTTAGCCATATCATGGGAGGGAATGAAGGCCTACGCCTTCCCTCCACCGATCCTGTTACCACTAGTACTTCGCAAGATCAACCGGACGAGGGTCCTACAACTGACTTTGCTAGCGCCTTACTGGCCAGCAAGACTATGGTTCCCAGACCTCATAGATCTTCAAGGCGAACCTGTACTACGACTTCCAGACTGGCCGAATCTACTCGTCCATCCTCACACGGCAACCCAAAAGCGTTCCAGCTACACGTATGGAACATATCACATACTGCTTGAAGGGTCGAGGATACTCCACTAGAGCAGCCAAGGCAGTAACCTTAGCTCTACGTAGATCTACACGTAACCTGTATGATGACAAGTGGAGAAGTTAGAAGATCAACAACAGAAGTTCAGGGCACCAGCTTGGGACCTCAATATAGTACTACAGCACCTCATAAGTGAGGTATATGAGCCGCTGACAGAGACGACATTTGAGTTATTAACTCAAAAGATGTTATTCCTCCCTGCCTTGGCTACTGCAGCTCGGATGTCTGAGATACACGCCCTTGACTTCAGCCTACGAGATTCGACACGGGAAGAAGGTAAGCAGTCCATCTAGGCCTTAGATGGGACTTTATAGCCAAGAATCAGCTGCCGGGACAACCGGATCGTCAATTTTACGTTCCAGCATTATCAACTATCTTGGGTCCACAGGACACTCAAGATCTATCACTATGTCCGGTCAGAGCGCTAAAAAAATCTACTTGCAGAAATCTGCTACGAGAAGGAGGAAGTTCAAGCGTCTATTTATCCCGCTATCACCCACTACGACGGTAGAAGTCTCCCGTACTACGATCTCCTTTTGGATCAGAGCGGTGATCTTAAGGGCCTACAAAGCAGCAGGGTTAGAACCTCCAAGAGCATATAACCCTCATGAAGTAAGAGCATTGGCCTCGACACTCGCCCTACATGGAAACTGCTCAATATCATCTATAATGGAAGGCTGCTTTTGGAAGTCAGACACTGTCTTCGCTAACCACTACCTGAGAGACATCTCCACGGAAGATGTATCTGGTATACATCAATTCGGCCCTCTAGTTGTAGCGCAGCAACTCACTATGCCGGCCAGGCGATGGCCAATCTCACGCTTGTCACGCAGACTCGTTGACGCCAGGCAACTGTTCCATTGCCATCGGCTAAGAGTCCATGTTCCCCTGTTTTACGAGATGAAACAGCGCATGAGTGATACATAGACTCAGTTATGGTAATGTTCTTGCCTTAACAGATGGGTTGCGATACAGGTTTCGGTAATGTTCTTACCGTAAACATATTGGATCGTTGCAGAAGATCTAGACAACACAACGTCTAGTATACTAAATCCACAAAACTTAAGAAGTTTACTTCTAATACGAATGTATAAGAAGGTGGTCCCCCAATTAACATCAAGATAATATTGAAGTTAGACGCAGATGAGGGGGTAAATCGAGCGAACGCTGACGTGAATACAATCATGCAGGGAATCCCGTAGGTGGCTGACCCACCACCTATCCGTCGGATTTAGAAAGCAAATAATCATAAGTCAGGATATACTTATACTTATCCTGACTCATGAGATGAAGCCCTCCCAACCGTCCCCTCTCACCACACGGGTTTCCCTGTAGACCTGAGTTGGGCATAATTCGGAGAGAGTGAGGACCAAGGCATGGGAGGTCACACGTGCCAGGTTTTGGCGGGAAACCAGGAAAGGTAATAAAGGGTGAGTGATTGTACGTTCGCTTCAAGGGAATTGAAAGGATTCAAGTCACTGTGGAGATTCACTGGCCCGACTTGATTTTTACTAGCCACGGGCCAACGGGCCAGTGGCTATTTCGAACACTGTATGTATGGTGAATGCTTTGACATCCTCTCTAAGCTTGCACTCACCATCAGTCTATAGACACGTATCCATCATGCAAGGAGCGTGAACTGCTCCACTCAATGACATTGAAGCAGTATTGGCCAACCGTGCCTGTGATCACAAGTATCAGCAACGTCCACTGCAGGTTCAGGAAGATGCTGTAGGCAAACGCAGCTGCTGCAGCTATGGACTGAATCAAACACAGGTATCACAATCAGTTGTCAAAGAACATCAATGAATATCCACATATCAACAATAAAACTTTGTTCTTAGACCACACCATTTTTCCTTAAGCCTACCATTCATTTCTCATAGTTCAGGGAAACAGTACTTAAGAAATACAGTTCACTCTAACCCCATGTATAGTGTAATAAAGTACACTTTTGACCTGAACTATTATAGATAAAGTGCGATGACGCTCGTGCAACAAGTTTAGATCAGTACATCGAGATAAAGCTGACAAGTCACGTGACATTCCAGGTTATTTATTAGGCTTATCTAGTGAACGTTGCCGTTTTGCTGATTAATTGTGAGTCGAGCTTAGACATTTTTTCCATCGAAAAAGTTAAAAGTAATGTTTCCATTAGTGATGTTAGCCGACTGAAGCAAGAAATGGGGTGTTACGGAGTAGTTTACTGTAGGAGACTGTACGAGACAACTTATATACATCGTGACATCGGTTACCAAGGGACGTTCATTTACAAGGGGGCAGACTAGAATGGCGTAGTGACATCAACACAGTGTGACATAATGCAAAAAAGTCAGCGCCTTTCATCTTTTAGAGAAGCATCTTAGAAATGTACTTAACCCATTCAACACTGCAGGCCGCTTAAGCGGCCACAACGTTATGAGTCCCAAGACCAAGAGGCCGATTAATTGGCCAGGCAGTAGTCACGTCAAAATGAGACATAATTTTAGGAACCTACCTGACTTATGATTCATATATTAAATCTAACACATTTCACAATGTCTGAAAACACTTCTTAAATTTCATTTTATCATATATTATCAGCAGAATTAGAATTATAATGTAATTTTTAGAGTAAAATTGATATTTTATACTTATCCTGACTCATGCTCTTTTGCTTGTCTTCTTCTTCTTGCGAACATAGTGGAAACACTTGTATCTCCTTAATTGAAGCTCCCTTCAATGTAAAATCACTAATTAGTACTCACCACGAGTTGCTCCCCTTTAATCCCTTTTGGTGGGAAAGGTGTCGCCACCTTACACCTCGTGCTTCACTCTCTCCTGATTTTGCGAGCCCAACACTTGAATTTACAGGGAAATCCAAAGTGTTATGTGGGGAGGATGGGAGGGCTGACCTCATGAGTCAGGATAAGTATAAAATATCAATTTTACTCTAAAAATTACATATTTTCCTTATCCTGACTCATGCTCTTTTGCTTGTAGAATCCTACGGAACGGAGGAGGGAGTAATAGAATACTTTGGATTTATAATTAGTGTATAAATATAACTGTAATAACTGGTATGGGAACTTCATGAAGGCATTGACTTAGGATATTTCCTGTATATAAACCATAGGTTATATAATGCCATAATTGGGTATTGATATATATTGAAAAAACCATTACATATATTATATATATATATAAGTGACTCTGATAGAGTCGCTGTACAACTAAAGATAATATCCATATATACTTAGGGGTGAATGACCTAAGCTAAATATATATACATAGCTCTAGAACTCCTTAGAGTTATAAGCTAGCTAAATTATGTATATAATACATATTAAACTTGTGATGGTAATATTTTAACGCCTACGAGGGACTGTCAGCTGTTGAGCCGAGGACCAAAGGGCGAAATGGTGAATGCCAGAGACATCTTCTGTGGTGATGTCTCTCAGGTAGTGATTCGCAAACACCATGTTCGATTTCCAAAAGCATCCTTCCATAATTGTGTTCAATGAACAGTTACCGTGCAGGGCGAGGGTGGAAGCCAGTGCCCTAATCTCATGCGGATTTGATGCTGTTGGTGGGTCCAAGCCTGCTGCCTTGTAGGCGTGAAGTATGACAGTCCTTATCCAAATAGATATGGTAGTACGCGTGAGACTTCTGTTTGATTAAGTTGGCGATAAGGGGATGAATAATCTTTTGAGAAATCTTCGCCTTGTTTTGGATCGTCGTAAGTAAACTTTGAGAGCTCTGACTGGACACAGTGATAAGTCTTGTGTATCTTGTGATCCGAGAATCGAAGATAGCGCTGGTACATGGAATAACCTGTCTGGTTGACCTGGTAGTTGATTTTTTGCGATGAAATCCCATCTTAATCCCAGGTGCGCTATGTTTTGATTGTCATCAAACTGTATCCTCTCGTAATCCAGGCATTGAATTTCAGATATTCTTGCTGCGTGGCTAGAGATAGCAGAAATAGTGTTTTCTGTGAGAGAAATTCAAAGTTTGTCGATTCCAAAGGTTCATAGGCCTCACTAGTGAGGTGTTGTAACACTACATTCAGATCCCAAGCTGGAAGCGTGGAACTTCGCTTTGGTCCTCCAATCGGAAAGCACGTAGTAAGGCCAGTAACTCTGGAGATTTTGTCAGCTTGACACCCGTTCTCATAGTGATCACAGAGCTAAGCGCGGCAAGATATGTTGATATCGTCGAACCTCTTAAATGTTTGTTTTGCCGCAGGTAACACAAATAGTCTGCCACTTGAGGATGTGAAGCATCTCTCGCTGTAAATCCTTTATTAGCTGCATAATTTTCGAAACTGTGCCACTTGTCGTCGTACAAGTTACGAGTCGAAAGTGTCGTAAGGCGCGTGACCGCTTTGCAGCCCTGGCAGAATATCCTCTCTTGTTTAAACACATTTGTATACAGTCCATACGTGAAGTTGGTAAACTTCTGGGTTTCCGTGCACTTGTTTTGTGTGTGGATGTATTAACAGGTTTGAGCGCTTGGGTAGCTCTAATACTGGTTGACCGATTCCTTGAATTAGCATGGGAAACCATACTCTGGCTGGCCAGTAGGGCGCGACCAAAGTGAGTTGTAGATTCTGTGTTTGTTTGATTTTCTGTAATACTTGAGGTATTATTGCTGGCGGCGGAAACGCTGCGACGCTGCGTTGAGGCCTTCCATGATATACTTAGAGCGTCCGTTTCCCAAGCTTGTGGATCTGGGATTGGTGACACGAATGTCAGTAGCTGATTGTTGAATCTTGTGGAGAATAGATCTATTAGCGGCGCTGCTAACGGCTTGATTATCTGTGCAAATATTTCCGTATTGAGCATCCACTCTGTCGGTGATGGTAGATGAGGCCGAGAGAGCGCGTCTGCTAGTACATTTTTGGCTCCGGGAATGTGAACTGCTCTGATCTGTAGATTTAGATCGTGGGTTAGATCGAATAGTTGAAAGCTTAAGTTCAAAAGGTTCAGTGATCTCGTTGAGCCTTGCTTGTTTACGTAGAACGCCACTGTGGAATTGTCGGTATGAATCATAAGGTGCGCATTTTGTAGAAATGTGCTCCAATGTAGAATGGCGTTGATTACAGCTTTCATCTCTAGGATGTTTATATGGAGTTTGCTTTCTTGTTGGTTCCATAATCCCGATGTCGTCTGGTTGGCGAGATGAGCTCCCCAACCTTGAAGTGACGCGTCCACATATAGATGGGTTTTGAATTCCTGCTCTGCTAAACAAATCCCTTCGCAGACATTCGATTTCTTTGTCCACCATAGTAGATGAGGTCTGAGATGTTTCGGTAGACTGAATGGCTGTAAATCATCGAGATGTGCATTGATGAAGACCTGTAAGGGACGTAACTGTAACCTGCCTCTGACTGTCATGTCTTGGGCTGATGTGAGGAGACCTAGGAGGCTCTGCCATTGTCGAAGTGGTAACGGAGAGTGTAGAGCTGGTGGAATGGCCTGTTGGATCTTGATCCAACGGTCTTCTGGTACGACGATACGGTTGAGATTTGTGATAAATCGAATGCCTAGGAACTGTAGGTCTTGTGACGGTATTAGGTCCGACTTGAGTAAGTTTACTAACCATCCTAGCTGTGTTAGTAGCTTTATGATGTAGTTTAACTGTAGTTTGAGATGCTGTGGATCTTGATCTACTTGTATCCCGTCGTCGAGGTAAAACGCACTGCGTAGCCCTTGATGATGAAGATAGGTGATAATCGGTTTCGTTATCCTCGTGAAAAGCCAGGGGGCTGATGATATTCCGAATGGGAGCACTTTCCACTGGTAATGTTGCCCGTCTAAAGTAAACCGTAGGTATTTCCTGGCTTTGGAGTGTATCGGGATGTGCAGGTAAGCGCCCTGTAGATCGATACTGCCCATGTAGTCCATGGGCTGAATCAACTGCCGTAACTGAGGTAAATGTATCATGAACTTCGGGGTTTGGCGTAGATAGTTCTTGTTGAAAAAGCTCATGTTGTAGATGAGTCTGTATTTCTCCTTGGAGTTTTTCTTGGGAACTAGGAAAACTGGGGAGTAGAAACCTGGTTCTATGTTGTCTTGGTCTAGTACTTCTATGGCCTGCTTTATTAAGAGTAATGTAACAGCCTCTCTTAACTTCTCGGTAGTTGTTGTGCCTGTAAGTCGAACTTGTGAGGGTTGACTGTCAACGGAGGCTTGGCCTTTAGTGGGATACTGAAACCGCGGACGAAGAATGTTGGAGACATAAGGGTCTTGTAACATTCCCCAGTTTTCCCAGTAAAGTTGGAGGCGTCCACCCACTTGAGATGGTTGTACTGGAACGGCTGGGGGTGGAAGACTCCAGTCGTTCCGAACCTGTCTTTCAGCGTTTATAGTTGCGGGAACCTCTGGGTGTCCTGCCTCTTCCTGATCCTCCTCTATAGTTGCCGAATGGGCTACTCTAAAAGAATCTTTCCTCTAGAGCTGGTTATCTTCCTGTCTCGTGCTCTCTCTGTAGGCCCGTGAATTTAGATCTTCCTGAGTATCTTTGAGAGGTCTGTCGGATGACGCTGGCTAGTGTGTCCATCGATTTAATCATCAGGACTTCTCTGGAATCCTTAGTGACTTCCTTGGAAACTTTGTCTATTTCTCCATTAAAGATGGATGTTGAAGACCACAGGGCTGTATACAGTGGGGCTGTAAAGTTCTCACCCCAGTTGCAGGAAGCGAGGAGGCCTTGACGACTAAGGTCAGTGCTGCTGAAATAGATGTAAGATGATCTGTTAGGAACTGCTGGTCTTTCTTTGCATAAGTAAGGCAGAATAAATCATTCTATCATCCTCAGAAGTTAGGACGCGAAATCTGGTGATAAGAGTCTCATTGATCGTTCTAGATCTATTTAAACCAAAAACATATCGCCTCTGCCATGGTTTCTATCTGGACTAACTGCGCGCATCATCAATCTTGTAATTCTTGTACTTGACATCGTTGATCAACTTATAGTTCTCATCGATGTCTTGAGCTTTGAAGAAGGGGTCCATGTTATGCGTGGAGAACTTCTTGGCATGAAAGTTAGGTATATGTGGTGTCTGAACTTTCATGGCTTTGTGGAATGCTGCATCTAGATTCTGTGGAACTGCTGCAATCGGGTCGATCAGTGGTAGTGTGATAGCATCTGCATCGTCTTCTTTCATCAGATATGTCTGCGCCACATTGCCATTTTTAGATGGTGATGAGAGATCTAGGTTATTGACCATCCAATACCGTATCTCAGCATCGGAGAAAATAACTCCTCCATCATCCTCTATACCATCATCATTGATGAGAGGTTGGTGCTGTTCTGGAACTGCGTGCTTCTGTCTTCTCTCACGTCCGGCATGCTTGTGCAGCTCTGTATGGTGACCTGTAAGGTGATCTACGTGGTGATGAAGCGAGGAGGAGATCGTCCTAGGTGATCTACGCCTATGGGTTGATCTTCTCGGTGACCTGTGAGGAGAACGTTGATAGCGCCAGCGAAGCTCTTGTGTAGTCCCTCGATGTCCTTCTAGATGATGAAGATCTGGATTCAGCTGCCCTTCGCGAATGCCTTCGCGAAGCTTCCCTCGGCCGGTCCGGGGAATTACGATAAGACCTTCGCGAAGGCTTTCGTGATGTCTGATGGTCCGAGTCCACATCTTGGGATGAAGGTGACGAGGGTGATGATCTATCCCGCCTTAGCGAAGGCTGTACATCTAGGTCCTTCGTGGAGGTGGTCCGTGCCTTCCTTCGCGAAGGTGACATCGTCTTGGCTGCTACGTTGACGGGGGGTGCCTCTGGGGTGCTGTCTACGTTGGAGCCTTCGCGAAGGCTCGGTCCTTGCTTCTGCAGTCTATATCGGTCTTCCATCATCGTCATAATTTGCTGCATCAGGTCATCAGGGATGGTCTGCGACGATGTTGTCTGAGCCTTCTCTGCGGAGTTAATGATGGGGTCCACAGCAATAACGTCTGACATCAGTGTAGAGGCATCAGGCTGCATGAAGATCTCTGCTGAAGTCACTGTCGCTGACACCGGCCGCTTCTTGTGCCGTATGTCGGGGATGATAATCGGCTGGTCATCGTAGAGGCCCATTTCTTCGGCTGGAACGATCTCGGCTGAGAAAGTTCTCGCTGTCTTCGTAGACTTTCCTTTGGATGTCGACGCTGCCCTGGGGGTACGAAGTCTGCGTTGAGAAGACGTCGAGGCCCTCTTGGACTTTAGCTGCGATGACGGGATGTCTGGGGAGGCCGGTCGCTTCTTAGAGGTGACGGACTGCGTCCCACGTCCCTCTTCCGATGGGGTCTCTAGCAGAACACCAGACGGTAGGGGGTCGATCGCCAGCAGCTGACTAGATGGAGTATCTGGAGTATCAGCCATATTTAGCCCTTGTTTGCGTGACCTATCTGCAGCACGTCTTAAGACGCAAAGATAGTATTTATTAAATGCAGAATTAGATAAATCAATGCAATAACTGCAACGCGTGAATCAAAGCGATAATGGGTAGAACAACTAGGGCATATTACATGCGGATCTGAGGCAGAAAACGTAATCTACAAATAGTACAGATTTTCATCAACGTAATACTAGCTGAACAATCACCGAATACACGTGAATAAACAGTAGAAATACGATAAATAATCAATACAAATTACAGAAGGATACTAGCTATACCTCTATAGTACACTATAAGAAGTAATAAACTAAGAAAAATCAAAGGATATGTTGTGTAAGGAGACACAGGCGCTCACGCATCCTGCTCACTGGGCGAAGAAGGAGAGAGTGAAGCACGAGGTGTAAGGTGGCGACACCTTTCCCGCCAAAAGGGATTAAAGGGGAGCAACTCGTGGTGAGTACTAATTAGTGATTTTACATTGAAGGGAGCTTCAATTAAGGAGATACAAGTGTTTCCACTATGTTCGCAAGAAGAAGAAGACAAGCAAAAGAGCATGAGTCAGGATAAGGAAAAATAACTATTTTTCGCAATGTTATTGAAAACAACGATTCTCGGACACATGCTTCGGCGGCGGGTCCACAATAACATTGTCAAAGAGCTAAAAGAAGAAAAGTAACGATGTTTCGAGGAATTCATTAAATAAATTGAATAAACTAATGAACGCTTGGACACGATGTTTAATGCGAAAATATATATATGAAGCATTTTTGTCACAGGTCATAACCTAGCACGATACGTCCAATAAGTTCCATAATTTACGTATTTTTATCCAATAAAATCCCTTCTTACAACTGTGAAAATACTCCCGGCAAGGGTTCAGTGATGTTGTTGATGTTCAGAGCTTTCGAACGATACCTGACATCAAACGATTCGCCTCCCATGTTATTCATACGAAGCTTCGAAAACGGAGGTATTTTCCGTTGTTATGTCATGTTACCGAGCGGAAAGCCACAGATATCGGGAAATAGGCGACCATACATATTATTTAAGAAATCTTTTTATAATAATTTTCTGATGACGTAAAAATGAAAATATAAAAGAAAAAGGCACGGGCATGTTATGACATGTCACAAATGGAAAAAAATCGCCATAGTTTTTGCTTCTTTCGAGGTTTATCTGGACGTTATAAATGTAAGCCTGCATTTTCATTCAAAAATAATTTTATTAAAGTTGTAGTTGTATTATTTGAATAATATTATAAAAATAAACTTCATATTTATCAACAGTAGGATTAGATCTTTTAAATGGTGTATGGGATGTAGTAGCAATAACGTTTTACAAGCTTATAATTTCCTTCATAAACATAGGCTTCATCTATGACCTCAGAGTCTCTGGGAACTCGGTGTCATGGCAGTAAATGACTGGTGTTGAAAGAGTTAATTACTTGACAATATGTATGTACTTCAGTGAAACAATGAAACAGTATATATATTCTTCAAGAGTGAACATATAGCTTTACTTCAGGGAATCAGTGTAGGTACATCAAGAGTGAACATATAGCTTTACTTCAGGGAAACAGTATATGTACATCATGAGAGAACATATAGCTTTACTTAGGGAAACAGTACATGTACTTACCTGTACAAACTTGAAGAGGGCAAAGGCTGGAGCACTGTCTTCTGGGAACATGTAGCCCAGCAAGGAGTAGAGCTAAAAACAGAATCACAACAAAATCACTAAACTTCACTCTCATGTCTGATATCTGATCACTCAATGATTTTTCGGACAACCATAATTACTCTTAATACCTTGTCTACACACTTCTGATTTAAACATCAAGATAATAAAAAAAGATCACATTGTTTTAAAGGGATATTAACACATATTCAAAATAACAGCACAATCGATAATGATTTCATGATCTAAGGAAGATAACCCTTAGTTCTTTGACGTTTGATTTAGAATGTAATTAGCCTTGGAGTGGGTGTTTTATAACATGACAGTCAGGAATATTCTAGCAATATTGCGACAGCCTGTTACTAATTGAATCTAGACTAGACCAACCACTGAGTACACTCTATAAGCCCATTCAACAAGCCAATCCCCTTCAAGCTGGTCCTACGAGGTTGTGATGGGGGGGACTTTTTCCACCTGGGATCTCGGCAGTCATAGAACACTATCTTTGGAGCTTTACAGAGTTGAAAACTAAAGGAATTTTGAGAATAACAGCGTTATTAATGATAATGTTTTCTGTCACTACCCGTGAAGGTCCGGGATAGAATGAACCTTCAGTAACCCATGCTTGTCGTAAGAGGCGACTAACGGGATCGGGTGGTCAGGCTTGCTGGCTTGGTTGACACATGTCATGGGTTCCCAATTGCGTAGATCGATGTTCATGCTGTTGATTACTGGATTGTCTGGTCCAGACTCGATTATTTACAGACCACTGCCATATAGCTGGAATATTGCTGAGTGCGGCGTGAAACTAACCTCACTCACACTTCTGTCACTACAGATGAAGATGTCTAACCTGTGTATTGAAGCTGCTGTCACCCATTCCTAGGAGAAAGCTGCAAACCAGGGCCACATACTTGCTGGAACAAAACACAATGAGGTTAACCTCGAGTGAGTGAATGTGTAATAGTAAAACTAATACAATGTCCAAGCTACTTCAAAGCAGGCCTGCACAACTTGCCACTGGCTGCTACCATCAACTTGGTGGGAATATATAGAACTGGACTGGATATACATGTTTTTGAGAACCTCAGTACTTCCAGTGCTTACATGGACAGGGTGTACTTGTTTGGATGTACTTACATGGACAGGATGTACTTGTTTGGATGTACTTACATGGACAGGGTGTACTTATTTGGACGTACTTACATGGATGGGGTGTATTCATTTGGATGTACTTACTTTGACTCGATGTATGTAGCTTCGGCCGAGTCCACCAGGGAAGAATTAGAGGGCATGTTCAAGAAGATGAGAAGAAATGCCAACATGTGTACCAGATAGCCAAACAACACTATCGGGTCACGGGCCATGAGTGTTTGTTCTCTTGCCAAACAGGCCGAATAAGCCACCACCTGACAGATGAAAGCACAACATATGACAAACATGTTGTAACATCCTTCATATACATGATACACATTGTCCTATCTTAAAAACAATATCAATGAAAGACTATAATAAATATCATATCATACCAACAATCAATTTGGATATAAAACACCAAATGTTTACATTAAACGATAATATTCTGTTTGATTAAAGGCCATGTTTACCCTTACAACCTCAATGATAAACCCAGCTCTTGTACTCCTTAACCAAACTGATCGCCAGTACTGTAGGCCTGTTATAACAAACCAGAATCAGGTGGTTTATGTGCAACTAAACGTATGTCATCAACTTGATGGTATACTCAACATTCATGCTGTCAATCACTGGCCAGATACTGGTCCGCCGGTCACTATAGTCCCAGTATGTAACCCAGTACTGGTATGTCAATACCTGTCCCCTAAGGAGTCATCAGTCCCATGTCACAGACTCCAAACCAACATACCTAAAATCTCCCCAACTCCGATGAATATTCCTGACAACCCAAGCAGACCGTTTCTCTCAGCCCCAAAGTGAAGGTTGTGGGATACGCACGTTCCATATACTCCACTGAAAAATGTCAATTCAAGACCTGAAAAACACAAAAAACAACAAATAACATCGGCTTTTAAACTAAGAATACCATAATCATGTAACCAAGCAAACATATGACACTGTTATCCGTATGGGAAGGAGGACTCCGGGTCGTATTATTCCTGTAAGTCCCTAGTAAGGTTACACCTTTTGGTGAACGTTGATTGGTTGTTTCAGAAAAGAACAGCCAATCACACGCGTAGGGGTATGGGATTCCCCACATCGCGGATTTCCTAATAGAGAAACTGCTGTTTTCATTTAAGCCTTTTTTAAGATCGAAACTGATATGGGTAATAAAAACAATATCCAACTCATGACGGTGAATGCCAGATTATCTTTCCCTCATTCTATTAATTATGTGATTCTCTCGCCAAGGCTTGAAAATTATGCAATTAATACAACTCGGGAAAGATAATCTGTCATTCTCCGTCACTCGTTGGTTATTGTCTAAATCAGTGCTATTTATGGAAATAGGTTTCCAAAACCTTCTGTACTGTCATGAATTTATGCTTCTTATCCTGATTTGCTCAAGATGCATCAAAACTACTCAATAATAGTTAATGGAATCCTGGTTTTGTTGGGTAAATGTGGTAACCAGCTATCTAAACAAGTGTAACTTATCATTTGTTACCTGTGTATGCAAATGCAAAACTCAAGTAGATCATTTCCTTTGTCTTGAGGAGCTGAAACGACCGTTCTGTCAAGGAAAATAATTAATAATTATTATCAATTTTAGGCAAAGAAGATTTATCCAACTAAATAATATTAAAATCCCTGATTCAAAAAGTGAAACTGAGACGAATGCAAAACAAAATCAAATATGGACATGCGGCCATATCCAAACTATAGAAATATCAATGTGAAAATTCATTATCCTGTGACAGCTGAACAATATCAATGTGTCCTCTGACCCAACATCTTTTTGCTGATCAATATACAGGACCAGTGTCTCATGACAAAAATCATTAACCATCACAGGTGTGTTCAACACCATCTCGCATATCAAATACTGTCTGTCACTCTGTAGTAGAATCACAAGAAGAAAGGCTTCAAATAATAACAGTAAAATGATAACAAAACACAGCAGGGACCACACTGTTATTCCTTAAGAAAATATGCAACAACCACTGTCACATTACTTCTAAACTGACCCCTTACAAAACTATCAACATCCTTGCATATGGTTACTTCATTGTGTGACACTGTCCAGGGGCGGATACAGCTTTTTTGAGAAAGGGGGATGCACTGTTCATTTTCACAAGTTTCACGCACGCACGCACGCACACACACACACACACACACTGGATCCGCCTATGTTATCTGTTCTATTCCATAGTCGAAGGCCCTCACAAATATTACTGGGCTACACATCTTCCATCATTAGAACACATGAATGTGAATCTGATGTGTAAATAGCAAGTTTCATATGTGTGTATTCCATATTAATGCCCAAAGCTCTATATATTAATGTTCTATGTTCTGTTGATTCACTGAGAGTTCCAAGATACTCCCAGAAATAACAGTATGCATAGATTACTTACTTAAAGCAGAAAGAGCAGTGTCTGCACTTTGTGAACCACTGAAACAGGAAACAGCTGCATGTTAGTCAATGGGGTTGCAACTGCTGTCATATATAAGACAAAATATTATAATGTCAACTTCTTGTTTATTGTAGACACGTTTCTGGGCTTTTCCTTGCCCCTTCGTCAGGTGAAAATACTGTCATATAGCTGGAAAATAGCTGAAAACGATGTCAAAAGCATGTAAACAGCAAACAGACATTGCAAATATATTTGATCAAGATAATAAATAATGTATACTTATATTACATTAACCTCCATACACAAGGTGTATGCTCAAATGCTAACATTATTTTCCCGGTCAGTGAATCAGTGTGAACCCCTAGATGCATGTGAGCTTCTAGAAGGTTAACAGGAGGACCATCTCATCCCATCGGGTACCCATTCACTGCAAGGTGAACAGAGGCGATTTTGAACAAAGTCACTTGTCTTAGGCGAGACTACATGTGTGGCACATGTTTAGTTGTAGGTCAGGACATAAGGCCGAATAAGGTCTCAGGAGTCAAGCTGCCAAACACAGTCACCCTTCCATTGACTCAATCCTTCAACTTCAACTGATTTATGACCTGTGCTCTTTGCACAGGTCCATACACGAACACATCGGCAGTTTACCTGCAGTTTGAGAAAAGTAACAACAGACCATTGTTAATATGTTGTCATTGTGAGCCATCAGACTAGCCACTTTGACAGGCATTGATAACCATTTCTACTCTGGAATGTCTACGTCATCTACAAAAAACTTCCTAAAAAGTGAGGGAAACATTGTTACCTGGAATTCAGATTGACAAGATTTTCAGCATCAGATGTTCGTCTTTTTCGTATGAGAAACAGGCAGATGATTCCTAGCAGGGCTGCGGAGCTCAGACCAATAAACAGATCGGTTCTCTCAGTGTCTGTCACCACACTCTTGGACTTGAACACGAAGTAGCTGTACATGTTCCCAAACAGAAGGCTGAAACATTAAACCACTTTGCTGTCATCAAATTCATCATAATTTTTGTCAAGAAATTACGCTCAATCCAATTTGAAAACATTATATTGTGTCTTCTTTTCCTTCATAAAATGATGATCTGTCACACAAGACAACAATTTCATCTTAATCTCCACTATTTATGCTGATCCTTCAAGATCTTCATCACCCTCCTTGCTAACTCATTAACACCAAATGTGACTTTTCAAACCAACTCAAGGTCAATTTAAAGGCACTATGTCACACCACACTCCTCTAAAATTATACAATGCATTTACCTCAATAATACTATCAGCAGTCAGGGACAGTAAAGCTACCATATAATTTATTACCAAAAATAATTTGTATTTAGATCACAATATTAAATTAAAAAGTTCAAATGAATTAATGCAATGTTGCATTAAATCGATTCTTGCACCCTCTACCAGCCAAACATTATTTTAAGAAAACCCCATAGAGGTATGTCCCTTGGAGCACTCTTTACTAATATGCTTACGACAACACCGTGTGCGACAGTTTTCAATGTACGGAGCAATTGTTTATATTCCATATATGGCAAGTCAGGGCTCGATTTAAGAGATGTTAACCCACTTGCACCAGGTTCAACCTAAGATAAAAGCCTAGTTGCACCAGTCAAATTCCAGTTGCACTGTTTTTATTGCAATATGTAATATCAGAAATATGACATTGAATTATTTAGATGTTTTATTCAGAAGTTTACCCACTAAAAAATTGACTTGCACCTGGTGCAAGTTAGACTCATAACTAGGTTGCACTTTGTAATATTGGGTTGCACCAGTGCAAGTAACAAACACTAAATTGAGCCCTGCAAGTGTTCTCTGTTTGGAAGCTGTTCGCCTCGAAGTTTTAATTATTGATTTCAGGCAAGTCGTAAGGAATAAGAAGTTTTTCTATTGTATCAATAGGAAGCTAAAGTGAGTGCATATGCCCCAATGCGTATAATATAGGCCAAAATATTGTCTAAAAGGTGCCATTGTGCCTTAAGCCCATCATCTTCATCCAAATAAGTTCATGTTTTCCCTCCCATTTCAATCCCCTGGAATAAAGAAAGTGTGCTTGTGTGACATGTACCTGCATTGCAGCAGAGCCCAGAATATACCACTGTTCCGTGCCACAGTCTCTGTATCAGAATTTATTGTCAACGTTGATCCTTGGGCTGTCCACAAAACTGGAAACAAATTAAGCATCAAAACACTTAAGCATCAAAGTTCTAACATACAAATAATGATTGTTTTCCATCAGTTTTCTCTTTACTAAAGACAAAATATGGATCTGTTAGAAATGTTTGTCAATGAACAATGAAGAACAGTACACTCTAGATTTCTGACTGACAACAAATATCAATGTCCACAAAACATCCATCCATCCATCCATCCATCCATCCCAGCTTACTAGCTGCCCCAAAGCCGACCAGCACTGACCCCAGGTACAGAGCCCATTCCATAGGTTTCAGGAAGGAGAGGATAAACAGACTGAAACAAATAGCATTGAGATCACGTATCTGTTCTACACAATGCTTCATGATTTTGAGGTTAATCATTCTTGAATACTCTATAATGTTAAGCAAAGTGGCAAATATAACTTACATATCCTCATGTAACCAAAATGTCTTTCCATATATTATCATGATTTACATCCTTATATTACCAAGATTTCTAACAATATATTATCATGCTTTAGATCCATATATTGCCAAGAATTCCAACCATATATTATTTAAGAAATACAGTTCGCTCTACCACCATGTATAGTGTAATAAAACACACTTTTGCCCTGAACTATTATAGTTAAAGCACGAGGACGCTTGCGTCCGAAAGTGCTTTAACGCCATAATAGTTCAGGGAGAAAGTGTGTTTTATTACACTATACATGGTGGTAGAGCTTAACTGTATTTCTTTCTAAGATGCCAAATTTAATACTTTCTAAGGATAATTACGATTAATTTAAGGCAGAAAACAAACGGGCGGTGTCGGTGACCTAAATTAAGAATCCTCGCGACAGGGCTAACTGGCTGTTCTATTGATGTGTCTGCCCCCCTACGCTAAGATCTAACGCTACCAGAAAAACAAATGATAAACAGTTTCATGACGGTTTACGCTCGGATTAAATATCTTCTCTAAAGTATTTTAATTACATCTGTGATTAACGTAAACCATGTGAACGCCGCATTTCTACTACCAACGATGTTTAGATCAGTACATCCAGACGAAGCTGAGTAGTCAAGGGACATTCCACGATTGCATTGTGGGAATGTAAACATTGCTTAACGTGACCGTGTCGCTGAAAACTTGCGAGTCGAATTGAGACATTTAAAAAGTCAGAAAACATAAACGTAATGTTTCCACCAGTGATGTTAGGTGAGTGAAGCAACTGCAAACCAAGAAACGGGATGCAACGCAGTAGTTTACTGTAGGTGGCTGTACGAGGCGATGCCAACTGACATGCATCGTGACGTCGCTTACATTGTGACGTAATGTAAAATGGTTCGATTACGAGGGGGCACACTAGAATGGCGCAGTGAGGGTGATAACGTCATTCAATTGTTACGTCATCAAAAAACTATACCTTTATTGTCTGATAATGTAATTTTTTTTCGATTGTTCTAACCGCTAGGCATCTTAGAACATGCTTTACATCATTATATTACCAAGATATAATAAGTACTACACATACTACTTACAGATACAACACTGCTCCTATGATCATAGACAGTTTGGGGCCTACGTAACCGACAAAAGATGGAGCTGCCCAGTTGGAAACAGAGAATACTCCATAGATGATACCCAGGCTGAAAACAAAATAGGAAAAAATTGAAACCAAATCGGTGAGAGGCCAAATTGTTCCATGCATAAAAAATATCCATCAATACACCAAGGTGTTGTTGCATTACCTTAGTTGTGATTAGAAATATTTTACATTTATAAAGCAAAACCTGCTATTAAAATGACACAATGCTAGAATATATTTTTCTTGGTGGAATAACAGTTTCAGATACTATATTTTTCCACTCACTGCCCCAGAATTCGTTCTGTTATATTATTTAAGCAAATCACCGGTAGCTCGCAGGGAAACGTGCACAGCTGATTGCTATTCCCGGCTCTGTATACAAGACAAATACACATGGTAATCTTAATCCCTGCATAGAATACAATGCCTAGCAAAAACAAATTAGAACTGACAAGGTAAATAATCTTGTCTAGTGATATATAATTGCCATTTTGACATCTTCACAAGTTGTTTTCCCTGTTTTGTTCAAGCGAAGTGATACAATCTCGTTTTCTTGCCACCAGAAAAAAAGTTTAACGGAAGTGTAACCTGTAGATAAGCCAACCCCCTTCTACAGAAATTCTCCTTATCTACAGCCATATACGGTATGTTCCTGTTGACTGACTGACTGAGTTTGGTTTTACGCCGCTTTTAGCAATATTCCAGCAATATCACGGCGGGGGACACCAGAAATGGGCTTCACACATTGTACCCATGTGGGGATTCGAACCCGGTCTTCGGCGTGACGAGCCAACCCCTTACCACTAGGCTACCCCACCGCCCCATGTTCCTGTTGACATTCACCCCAAAATAAGTCAGGTAAGTCAGGGTCTGTATGGTTTTCAGGTGTGTTTCTTTTCTCAAAATTTAGCCTCTTCAAAATGACTAATTAGTGGTATGCAAATACATGTCACCTTTCAAAGGGCAGAGTGAGCTGGCACACTAAAGCACAACGCTAACATTACAAGTGCCAGGTGCTGAGATTGTATCCTGCAAGTACTGAGTTGTTATTCAGCCTATAATGTATATAGTGTTGTCACTGTTCCCTAGTGTGCGCTGCATCTGATGGTAGATGACCAAATGGTGGAAACACAAATATGAACATACATCCATATCACAAGTGTAAAAACTTGTGGTGTCATCCTGGGCAAGGGACTAAGTTTAAATGTGCCTCTGTTCACTCAAAAGAGAATGTGCATGTGAAGAAGTCGATGCTAAAACCTTCCAATGCTGTGAGGCAGCTTGGGTTGTATACTCCCAAATTAGGAAATTGAGAAAGTAAATTTGAAAAGCATTTATAGATCTACTGGTAAGGGAAAAAATAAATACTGCATTTGAGCAGATGCTGGTATCTAGTAGATAAATTATGGTAGCTAAAAATTGTATAATTGTCAAAATGTTAGTCCCATCCACATTTCACCTGTCTTGGTTTGAGATGAGAATCCAATTTTCGCAATCCATGGTGGTAATATTTACAGAAATTCGCCACTGCACAATGACACACAAAATACCCTTAAAACACTTCCTTACACTGTTGCATTTTTCATCATACAGACATGAAATACAACACCAGAATGAGGCAGAATTCTCAAGTTAAGTTTCATTGTTCCCTTCTCCATCCAGTTTTGTTTCTGCATAAATCATGCTCACGTGACCAATTCTCAATTGATGAAACTATAGCAACACATGCATCATATGTCAAGATCATAAAAATGTCCCATACCTTGTGTAGCCATTTCCAGTAAAAGTGTTGTTAGTGTCATTGTTTGACTTCCCCACGCTGTCCAAGACGGTTTTCTGCAAGGAATCAATGATGTATATGACGTCATGGTTGTTACTGTTAGTCACTCTCACAAATCTCAGTTAGCATTTATGGCATAACCAGAAGGTCTGTACATTCAAGAGTGAGTGAGTTTAGTTTACGCTGCTTTTAGCAAAATGGGCATAATTTTTTTAATGTGTTTCACGTAGCCACAAAATTCTGAACATGGGTCTGTCGGTCGGGAAAAAAACAAAACAAACAAAAAAATTAATAAACAACATTATTGAATAATGTTCTTGATTCTCATTTATTGTAATTCTTATTACAATTTCTTGCACTCTTTGGACTTGTGGCAGTTTCTGATTAAAATATAAATAGTTTATATGACGAGGCGGTACAGTTTAGGTTCAGGTTGGTGGTGTTGAAATGAAAAAATATGTTTTTTGAGGGGGTCGGCAATAACATTAGAAGGGTCGGTCAGGCGATGAGAAACACAAAAAATAAAAATGCTGCCCTACTCATGGACCCCAGAAATGGGCTTCACACATTGTACCCATGTGGGGAATCGAACCTGGGTCTTTGGCGTGGCGGGGGAACGCTTTATCCACTTGGTTACCCCACCACCCCTTGTACATACATAGCACATGGTGATATCTGCAGCTCAGAAGGAAATAGTCATTAGGTAAAAACATCATCTAGGATATGTCACAGCCATTACAGATGTTCAAATATGTCCTAAATATAGTGAAGATTATTTTTGTTATTAATAAAATATTTCAGCAATATATGAGAAATAAGATTGAAAAGAAATCATTTTGAATATCATTTAATACTTAAAACACAAGACAGACACTTCTATTGTACGTTAGGAAACAATGGATGAGGTTTGCAAGTTTGGACTACAAAAACACTTCAACACTGAACTCAACCATGTTTGGTGAGGGATTGGAATGTAGAAAATAGTTTTGCAGGTAAGGCAAAATGGGTACTGAAGATAATGTTTAGGTATGCCCTTTGAAATCTTATTGTGTCAACCAAAGAAATATGTTGCTTAAAATGTGTTCATTAAGTCTGTTCATAAATTTATCATTTCACAATTTGACTCATGTGAAAGGACATTTTTCACACGGTTCACACAATGAAAACCATCACAGGATTTTTTATGTTTATGTATTTGATCTCTACATGTTATGGTTTTAGCCACCCCACTGGAACATTAATAACTAGGCATTTTGTACTTGAACCTTTATAATTCAGACACATTTTCAGCTTAGTTGTATTTGAAAATTAGCGATTTAACACATTTACATTTAAGAAGATTGTGCAGCATATTAGATACATTGTAAAAACCATAACATGTAATATGCTTTGTATTGTAGAGCTGTATATTTTACTAACTTAATTATATGCATATATGGTTTGTATGCTTGCTGTTTAACACAGCTCTCAGCAACATTCCAGTCACATGACAGCAGCCTGTAAATAAATAAGTCTGAGCTAGACAGTTATTAACATTGTGAGTGACAATCCACGCTGTCAGAGTACACAGAAAAGCCAACAACCAAGTTACTTCACCACCCAATCCACATCATGTCCCACAACTCCATAGACTGTTTGTTACCATGGTTACAATATTCTAACACAGATTCCTCACAGGTTGTTGATGGTCAGATAACAACATAAATTTGGACCTACTATGATTGCTGGGCACACTCTAGTATTATCATAACTTCAGCAGTCCTGCAGTTTCAGGACTGCTAAAGTTGATTGAATCCTGAAAAATGTATAAAGGACTTGGGAACAGTGCAAAATGCCAAATCAATGGCAAATTACAGCAAAGAAAACAAATGGGCAGGAAAGTATCTTGTAACATTGATTCCCTGAGTAAGTATTAGTGTTGGGAATTGGTTCAAATCTCGTAATTGATGATTGGTTCATTACAACCGATCAATCATCGAAAATTATTGGTTAGCATCATTTATGAAATTTTCCCGGTTATTTTTGTGAATGCACAAAAAAATAAATAAAATAAATGCAGTTCCTTGGTGTGATTTTTTCAAATTGCACATCTTTAAAGGATGACTAGTATGTCAGGAACATAAATTTCTTGTCGTCTTTAAAATAAATTCAGTTATGACTTGGAACGAGCATGTCGTGAAATGTAACAGACAAAACCAACCGTGTGTAAAATATTGTTAATGTAAAAAGTGTTCCAGAATTGTTTGTGTTCGATTATGAGAAAACATGATCGATTGCTTGGTCGTTTAGTCATTGCGACCAATCTTCAAGTTTTTCAATTAATCGGACCACCACTAGTAAGTATTAAGAAAATAGTTTCCAAAGAATCAGTGATTCTTCCTGTTAGTCATCCTCATGTCAAACAGAAATACAAGGAAGACAGAACTTTGGACCCCAACATGACTGTAGCAAGTCATAAACAATACTATACTTACTGGCCCGATGACTCACCCTTGTTTACAACAATGGTGTCAGCTGCCTGTACAATATTACAGCAATAGAACCTGCCTCATGTGACAATGAAAACAAGGCAGATTTCCTTGATTTACAGATTAGCATGAGTTGGTTGAACAAAAAATAAAATAAATGTGTATAGCTCAATATAATATAACTTATTTACCATGGACTTGGTTTGGTCTGTCAGTGTGTTTCATGTGCAGAATACTTAGTGTCTTTACAATACCTAATCTTCTGACAAGACCTTGATCCCATTACAAGAGGTCTACTCATCAAGTTCAAAGTGTACTACATACACTACAGTTGATAAAATAAAAATATAAAAAAATTATTAATTCTGAACACTTTTAACATGTTTAAAGTTGAATTTGGAAAGTATGGAGAGGGATAGGGGGTGGGGTTCAAATATATTAAAGATGGAGGGGTCTGATGTTATCTATACCCTCTCAGAGGCCATTATTTCATTACAGCTTACCATGTCTACAGCTAATGTGTCAGTAAAGATTGCGAAATCATCATTAACAGTTTCTGTTTCTCATTCATATTCACAACTAATGCTAGAGTTTTCACTGATAACAGAATATACATGTTGATGAAAGTGCTTTGTTGACAGTATAGATTTCTATGAATGACAAGATGACTGAGACCTATTTCCATCTGCACTTCTTAGACTGATATTAGTAACATCTACCTATAGATCTATAACATAATAAGAATACAAAAAAACATGCTGTGTGACAACTCTGTGGCCGTATGTCATGTCATGAAAAAACCCAACAGTGTCACATTAGTTATTGTCAACTTCTATCATCATGATAATGTTCTGTCAGAAAAATAGAAATACTAGTGAGCAAGTGAGCAAGTAAGTGAATTTAATGCCACTTCAAACAGTATTCCAGGTATCTCTTGGCACTTCAACATTGTTCAATGTGACAGTTCAATGAAACATGACATTTACCACTTTCTTGGAACCTAAGTTACAGTACAGGTATGGTGCATACAAAACAAGAAACATAATCAGGGTGAACCAGGATTCTAACCTATGATCATAGGATTCTGGCATGCCCAAGGGACATAACTCTGCAATGTGAACTGGGGCACCTAAAACAAATGCATGTACAAACAATTCCCTCCAATTTTATATAAACAAACAAACTCTGGTTGCACATTGGGCTGTGAGTATTAAAACTACTACAACATGACTCATAATTAATTACCTTCAGAATAGTGCCACTTTTGAATTGTTTGAAAGATTATCATGCCAGTCAAATGGCTTCTTTATTAAAATATATTCATGCATCTGTAGCTATTGTTGGCTGATTCTTTTCAGGGGGGAATACTGCACTTTACCAGGCACATATTTTCAGTTGCACAATGTGGAGGAACAAACTCCACCCTAAATATAATCTAAATCAATGGGTAAATCTAATTGTATAACACTTGACCACAGGATCCTAGGCACAATCACAAATCATCATAAACTAGTAATTCTATATTAAGTGGTAAGGGCAAATTGTTTACTTTGAGGACCATGCATGATAGTAATATTTCTAAAACAATATCCTTCAAAATATTTCCAGATATTGGGCAAAAATCATAAGACTTTTTTTTCATAAAAGAAGCGAGAGTTTACTCCCATACCAACTAACAAAGCACAAGGTATGAACGGTTCGTAAATAATATCGTGATGAATCGTTCGATTAGCAATCTCCAACAGTAGGGACCAAGTAGTTGTGTTAGATCAGATGCAATCCTAATGATTTTAGTAAACTGGATTGCTGCCAAGAACAGTAAAACTGGGCCCATTTGTCAACTATTCCCAGAGGTTGCCAGAATCAAAACAAACATAGAACAACACCCCCTGAGCGAGCTGTGTTGTTAGCTGAAACCGGTGTATCTGTTGGCAAGAAAATCCACGAACAATATAGAAAACATCATATATCGCTGTACTTACCTCTACCATAGAACATGTCTGGAACGCAGTAAATATGAACATAAAAGCCAGTCCAAGAATGATAATGTTGTAAACACGAACATCGCACGCACCATTCGCCATCTTGTTCTTGTGTTATCACATGACTTGAAAGTTTTCGGTGATTTCCGTAAAGATAATAAAAAGTAATATTAGCATTGAAACTAGTTATTTTCAATAATTGGTATAGTAAACGCCAAAACCATATAATATTTTCGTATTTGTTCATATGTTAACAAAACGACGCAACACCCCCATTTAACCATTCACACAGCCCGTAAAACTGTGTGCATAACAAATCCATTACGATTTTCAGAGGAAGCTATGTAGAAGGGGACGTAACTCATGTAAGCATGAATAAACATGTAAACGGTCAGATAAAGGAGTGCAAGTGTGAATTCCGGTTCAAACCAGTTTGGAAGCCCGGTGGACAAGGAGAGAAGCCACGCGGTTTGAACATTGTCTTCGCAGTAAATGGTTGTTTCCGTGTAGGGTTGTGACATTTTATAACCATGAGTTATGGAAGAGGGCCTCCAGCTATTGAGGGAATGAGTTCCCTCAAAGTTGATAACTTAACATACAGAACAACACCTGAAGATCTGAGAAGAGCATTCGAGAAATATGGCGACGTAGGAGATGTGTACATCCCTCGTGACCGATTTACGCGGGAAAGCAGAGGGTTTGCCTTTGTTCGATTCTATGATAAGCGTGATGCTGAAGATGCAATGGACTCAATGGATGGAGCAATTATGGATGGCAGAGAAATACGTGTGCAAATGGCACGCTATGGCAGACCAGTAGATCCTTACAGGCGCGCTCCTCAAAGCCGCCATAGCCGACGCTCAAGATACAGCAGGTAGTATGATAGACCTAGAAGAAACAATGAACACTGAATACAGGGCACTCATCCAGTCAAGATCCCAGTTGCACTTAACCCATTTTTTCAAAGAGTTGCTCCTTTGTTTTTCTAGAATCGTTAATTAAGAGTTTATTAAACATTTATATCATGTATACCCAGATAGCATTCAGACGTTGGCCCAACGTTGACCATGGTTTTGCCAACGTACGATTGCTATCTGGGTAGTTCAGTTCATTTTATTTATTTTTTGTGCTGTGTGTCATAACGGTTAAATACAACTGTCATTTTTTAGGTCCAGATCGCGATCAAGATCACGCTCAGGAAGACGAAGAAGACGGTCTAGTGGGTCAAGAAGCCGATCAAGGAGTCGTTCATACAGTCGCAGCAGAAGCCGTAGCAGGAGTCGCAGCAAAAGCCGTAGCAGGAGTCGCAGCAAAAGCCGTAGTAGAAGTCGCAGCAAGAGCAGGAGCAGAAGTAAGAGCAGGAGTAGAAGCAATGAAAAACAACGGTCGAGGTCTCCTTCATGTGCAAGATCTGCTGGATCAGGTGGTTCAGCAAAAGAAAATGGAACAGATGAGAGGAACTGAGCTGTAGCAGCAGCAAGGGACTCCGGTGCCATGATGCGGCCATTCCAGTTCCTCGAATAAACCTAGCCCGTGATAATGTGTCCTTTGCAGAATTGTCAAAAAGGTTATTGTCTCTTCTGAACATTTCATTGACATTGAGACTGATCAGTAATGCAAATTTCAAGGACAAATTAATTGAAATTGTCTTGAATTTAGTATATTTTTAGTGCAATTGACAATTTAGAGACATAATGATAAGGATATGACACTCATTACTATAGAAGTCTTTTTCACTTCATTGATATGATCATTGTGTATTTTTGTCGCATGTAACATTTTGCATTTAGATGGTATCAATTTTAGTACATTTTACCATTCAATAAATTTCACTACCTGTATTAACAATGCTTTTTCTCATTTCCCCATGCTATAGGAGCGGTAAAGGGGTAATAAATGCAGTGCAGTAATGTTAGCTGTGTGGTATGCTGAGTGTCTACCGGGCGGGCAGTCAGTCGCAGTGGCTGAGTGGCTGGTTGATGCTGCTGCTGTCGGTTCCTGCAGAGTAGCTGGTGGACTAACAGCAGAGCTGATACTGCTGATCTAAATGCTGACCGTGATGCAGTTCCAGAAACACCACAAAATTGTTTGGCTTTACAAATCAGTTCACCTTGTAGATGTAGGGTATACTTTGTGGATATAGGGTTTTTTACTTTTTATACCAGATATTAGAATGTTATATGCTGTTTTGTAAATGATTTATATTTATTAAAATAAGTCATTTAGATAATCTGATTAAACATAAAGCTAATGGTAGTAATTTTTGTTAATGAAGATTATAGGTTCTCATAGCGTGTGAGGTTTTGTTAGAATATACTGTATAATTTTGTGAAGGGTTTTAAGTCAAGATGAACTGATTTGTCTTCTAAATTTTGTAAAAGATCAGTAGTCATTGTTTTGACTACTGAATTTAACTTTAATTTTCCTTTGGTTACTTGGGTGAAGACAGTGGGCACATTCTTAAGAAACATTTTTTCAAATCTTAATTGAGTAATCCCATGTTAACTGGGTATCAGGGTTTTGTTTTTTTGTATAATCCAAGAACTAACATTGTAATGTCTGAAACAATGTATGTAAAGGCTATATAAAACAAACTGCAGTGAACCCTGTAAAATGAAATTAACAACTTCCTTTTTGGTATGTGTATCGAGCTCCCAGAAATGAATGTATTTATGTACAGTCACATGTAATTTTGGCTCAGTTAGCTCTGCTTTCAGTTGACTTTGGGTAACATTACTGATAATTCAACCAGGGGAGATGTTTATTTTGAGTAAATGATGAAACAAATGATCTCAACAGTCAAGTTCTCGTGGTTCCAGAGCTGGTTGGTATGAATCTTATTACCAATATGTAACTTGGGATAGCCATGCTTTGAAAGAATAGCTATGATTAGCGAAAAAATTCTGCCTCCAGATGCGTGGACCAAATTTTATTGCTCACTCCTTCCCATCCATATGAAAATGGTCTTCAGTGATGTGAAAAATGACAAAAGCGAAATCAAAATATTTCAAACTAAGGAAAAGAGACCTGCATTGTTAAAAAAAAAAAGTCCTCAAGTGTTTATAAATGAAAAAAAAACAGGTTTATGGTGTGTAGGCAGTGAACACCATTCCATTTTTTAAAAATTGTGGGCTTTTCCAGGTTGCATCTTTATCTTGTTCTTGATGTATGCAGCATCCCAGGAGAGGTAAGGTCACGTTTGTTTTGCAGTTCAGGGCAAATGAAGACGGATTGCAACATTCTCCAAGTGAAATCGGAATAAAATCAAAAACTTTATGTTCGATTTTGTTATGGTTTTAATTCTATGGATTTATGGTTAAATGTAAAGCAGACATGGAATGATCATGAAATCCCATGTGCTGTGTTGTGTGACCTAATTGACATGACTGAAACCTTACTCAGTATGCATTTGGGGGTGCTTGTTGGTCTGCTGTAGTCACAGGTATTGACTGAAACCTTTGTATTCGAAAGTTCAGGAATATTTATTGTAATCTGAAGTTGATGTGGACATTGTTTCATGCACCATTATAAGGGTTTCCTCGTGACCATCCTCGATAATCTCTGGGTATACGCTATGATCACTCTCCACTATACCCTGGATGCATCCACTGGCTTTTTATCCAGTCAGGTGTCCACGCTGGGAAGTTTAGCAAACCAATCAAAACTCACTTTCGCTTCTTAAATTATCTAACCGTTTGGGGCGGTGGGGTAGCCTAGTGGTTAACGTGTTTTGCTCGTCACGCCGAAGACCCGGGTTCGAATCCCCACATGGGTACAATGTGTGAAGCCCATTTCTGGTGTCCCCCGCCGTGATGTTGCTGGAATATTGCTAAAAGCGGCGTAAAACCAAACTCACTCAGTCAGTATCTAACTGTTTAAACTTAGCAGCACAGTTGATGCAGAGGTACTCTGAAAGAGGTAGGAGTTCTTTCATATATTTTTTAAAAGTTTCAGATATGTCAATTTGTCTGTATGATTTCCTCAAAATCTTAGTGGCACTGTGAACAAACCTTCGCGACTGGACTGCTATCTTTGTTGACACTGGCAAGCTCGGATGTCACGACGACTTGGCTGATTGGCTACTGCGAGAATGCGGAGCCAGCAAAGGGAGGTAATATAATTCTCGGAAGCTGTGGATGCATCCAGGGTATAGTGGAGAGTGATCGTAACGTATATCGTGTAGATTATCGAGGATGCATGACCATGTGAGGACCAGACAAGCCAGTGGTAAGTCTGTTTCAGTCTGACACTTGAAAATTACATCCAGCTATCTTCACAAATACTTAGTTTGAATGCATGGGCCTTGAGGGGGGTACATCATGCAGAGGGCAAGTGTTTGTGCCTCCTTGAATACATATGTCTGTCACAAAAACACCAGTTGGAGGTTCTGGTTCTGATTTTGGTGTAGTTGAATCATCACAAGAACCAGGCAATCCGGTTCAGCTTGTTTCCTGTTGCCTCAGCTGCATTCCATATTGTCCATAAACTATTTAATTAAAGATTCAAAATAGAATTATACACCTACATAGTATTAAGTTGATGGGACTTCGGACAGGGAGGATCAATTATTCACGTTGGGGCTCTAAGTTTAAAAAAAATATGTACATGTATGATTAATGTAGATGAATAGAAGAACCCCACCAGTTTGAAAGCAGTCATTGTAAAGAGCAACACATGCATTGATGTGCAGCGTGTAGACATTTCCATTACTGGTACAGATAACGAGTTTCAACAAACATACCAGTGTAAACATTTCATTTGTGGCAGTCAAACTTTATGACACTGAAAGACAGTTTTTTCGATGTAACAGTCCATAAGGACAGCCCACCTGACATGCAAGCAAGGGCACACAAGCAAGTTTACACAGTAGTTTGTGCATTGAGGCAGGACAGGCTCCTTCGCCTCTTTGAAGGCAACTAAACATCAATGAAACTACAGGTGAAGATCATTCCTTTTCCAGGGAAGGATTGAGATCAGTCCTTGCAGTGTTTGGGTATTAGATGACAAAGTTGCATTTCATCCCAGAGGTGTTCAATGGGTGACAAAATCCAGGGATCTTACGGGACAGGGTGGTGAACATGACTCCTCAGTGAAAGGGCAGTGGGGTAGCCTAATCAGTAATAGTTAAAGCGTTGGCTTGCCATGCCGAAGACTGGGTTGGACTCCTCACATGGGTACAATATGTGAAGCCCATTTCTGGCGTCCACCACCGTAACACATGCACCAACCTACCTCTTTTTCTGAGTGAAGAGAATTCTCATGTGCCCTCTATTCCAAATGACTGCTCTACTTAAGATTTTGGCATCCTATAAATCATTCTACGTCACATAGACTCTTGCTCCTGAGTGCATTTTTCAGAAAAGAATTTGACCCGTGAAGGTCCGGGTTAGAATATTGATCTTCAGTAACCCATGCTTGTCGTAAAAGGCAACTAACGGGATCGGGTGGTCAGACGTGCAATTGCGCAGATCGATACTCAGATCACTGGATTGTCTGGTTCAGACTCGATTATTTACAGACTGCCGCCATATAGCTGGAATATTGCTGAGTGTGGCGTAAAACTAAACCCTGTTCACTTAGAAAAGAATTTGATGTCAGTAAGTAGGAATGAGTTGAAGTCGAAGAAAGTGTGTCTGTCATTTTGAAAGAACTGACAATCTTCTAAAGAGCGTTTTAGGTCCAAATCGAAACTGTCCCCATAAAGCTGCCTTCACCTGAAACATATGTAAGGCCTGGAGCATGGTCATCCCCTCATGTACAAAAGGAAATAACACTGTGTCAAAAGCACGTCAGTACATGTCCAGTGCTTTAGCCAGGCAAGAGCCATTGTGCCATTCACTAAAAAATATGCAATGGCACTTTTTTTCAATGCTAGAGCACCCATTGGCACAACATTTAATACAATCCACAGGTCTTCTATACCATGAATAGCAAAGTCTCAACTGCATTGGCACACATTTTAGTAGTTAGGGTGCCAGTTGGCAACACTCAAACTAATTCTGGCTGAAGCACTGCATGTCACATGTCCGTCTCGTGTACAAAATATGAGCTACCATTATGTTTACAGAATACTCGACATGAACACTGCATGCTGGGAAATATTTCCATACGAACTAAACTTATAACCTACAACATATATCCCAACATACCCCTGGTAAGAGAGAGAGGTTGTTTGGTCAGTTCAAAAACAAAAACAAGGGTCTCAAAACAGAATCAGACTTATTAACGGTAAACACGTTTATTGCATTTAGACATAACTATCCATAATCTTCATGAAAATGTATGTCCATGAACAATTATTCTCAACATGCAACATACCCTGAATTAGGTGTAGTTAAATACTTCAAAAGACTCCACACCATGTCCATAGCATGTCAAACAGCTATCACATTGGCATCAATGTTCACATAAGCAGGCTTGTAAAAAGCCTTTAAAAAGTTCAAACAGTAATTTGGGACCATTTTACTGAAGACAGGCATTCCTGGCGCATAACCATGAACAATAATGGTTGTTCAAAAGCTTTAAGCTTCCAACTTCCATTATCAGTCAGACTGACTGAGTGAGTTTGGTTTTTATGCTGCTTTTAGCAATATTCCAGCAACATCACGGCGGGGGACACCAGAAATGGGCTTCACACATTGTGCCAATGTGGGGATTCGAACCCGGGTCTTCGGCGTGACGAGCCAACGCTTTAACCATTAGGCTACCCCACCGCCCCCTCATCAGTCAGAGTCTGTGTATCGGTGTCCCTGTGACCTGACTATCGGATACAATTCTGTTGTGACTTCATATGTTGACGCCATAGTATTGACAGTTAGTACTCCATTGCTATATAGTGGAATACCCAATGGTTATAGATACAAATATTATACAACATACCAGGAACTCTTGGGAAGCTTACATGTCCTTGCAAGGGACTAATAGGGTCCGTAAGTAGGTCACAAAACTTTGCCAGATCTTATGTTGTTTAGTACTTGAAGTACTTAGTACTTCACTCTCTGACAATCCCAGGAGTAAGGAAACATTCACTCTCCGACAATCCCAGGAATGAGAATGTATTCACTCTCTGACAATCCCAGGAATGAGAATGTATTCACTTTCTGACAATCCCAGGAATGAGAATGTATTCACTCTCTGACAATCCCAGGAATGAGAATGTATTCACTCTCTGACAATCCCAGGAATGAAAATGTATTCACTCTCCGACAATCCCAGGAATGGTTTTGCTGCCTGAGTATCGGTAGCCAGTAGAATGGTTACATGCTCTCTTTAACAATCCCTGGTAGGTGTTGTGCTTCAGCTGATGACAAGAAGGCATAGACGGCTCTGTACATCATGATATATTCCCTGTAGTTGAAGGAAACTATGTTATTCATGTGTGCAACCAAATACTAAAATAGTGCCATGGCACTCGTTTTCCTAAACAAGGTGTGTTATTAAATATGTTGATTACTGCTGAGCTAGAAGGCTTTATTGCTTTAATAAACAAAACTCCAGTCATAATACAACAGGATTTACGACTTTGTGAAACTGGCCAGGCACTGGCAGGGTGCTTACGGACCAAGATCATCTGTAATTAAAATGCCCATGATAGAGTTACAAACCTGGATTTGGGGTCAAGATTCTGTAAAAGAGGTAGAAGTTTCCTGATGGCCATTTCCATGACAACTGACTGTAAGTGCAGATACTGCAGCTGAAACACCTGGTGCTTGTACTGCTGCAACTCTTTGAATGTCCTGTACGTGATGACAGAGGGACATGGCAGCTGCACATCTGAAGTAACGGGACCGTTCATAATTTATGGCAAGATGGGTGATGATGATTTTTATGCAGAAGTATGTACAATGTGAATGACTAAAGTACTGTCGGAAATGCTAGAAAAATGCTTTTTGACTTATAATTAAAATTCAGAGGTATTACAGTTACTTAAATAACAAATATCACTTCAAGAAACATCTACCTAATGTAGACCGAGGGAATAAACTTTGAGACATGCTCTAAAATGTGTTTTTACTGATGAAAATACCAAAAACTTAGAAAAATAAGGGGTAGTGGGACGTTATTTGAAACAAACATTAACTGCCTGTGTTACGTCATCAGCATGCACGCTATTGACAGGTGAAATTGACACCTGAGCACACGCTCGGGCGAGGGGTCATCTCAATAGATGTTTTCTGCAAAATGTTGAATATGTGTACGTATAGTATACGTATCAGTTATGTAAGGGATCATTTGTGTATGTGTTTGTTTTGAAATAAACATACGAATTACTGTACATTGGAAAGAATCCTATCACTTGTGTTATCTTATCGATTGATTGTAGAAATGTGCAACGTTTTAATAAATGTTTTGCATGTCAACAGTATATTTCAATGAAAAAATGTGGATGTAATTCGGTCAGTTTAATCTAGTTGTGAACATTGGCCAAAGATTTAACAAAGTCACTGGTGTAGCTTCTTTAGAATATATATTTATCTTCTCATAAAGTTTGTAGACCGCCCGTCTAAGCACTCCCTTGTCAAAGTTGTCAAGGATGGTTTTACGTCCCGGTTTGGCATTTGAGACGGTCCCTGTCTTGTCTGATTTGTTTACAATATTGTAAACTTGTTGGTAAGACATGCCAACAGCTCTACATGTTCTGTAATTAACCCTTTCTATACTAATGAAAGGTTTACCTCTGTCTTTTTTAAGCAGAAAAAAACTATAAACCTTTGCAACAATCGACTGCAAATCGTTGGTCATAGTGGACGCTGTGATAAAGATGTGCATGCATGACGGGAAACTTATTTATCAAGACTTAACATTTATATTAATATTTCTTCAATAAAGAAAACGATAATTAAGTAAAGTAACACAAACATTCAACATTTATTTGTTTAGGAAAAACGTTAATTCATATTTTTACACCACCTGTATTATTAGCATAAATGTAACGACTATTTCAGATTTCTGTTGTTGAACTTGTTGAATGCATCGGAATGTTAAATCAATTGAAATAAAAATTAGGTAGACAATAGGCGAGTTGATATATTGACAACATAGTATATTTACCACCTTTATAAAGATATTAAGGCTAAAAAGCATTTTTCTAGCATTTCCGACAGTACTTTAACACACACACACACACACACACACACACACACCCCTAAAATTTACGTACAATCAGGGGTTTGTTTGGAACCATGGGAAGTAAGTCTGAAAGTTGTTTGACAGAGATTTGCAACTTTTGACTTGATTCCCATGTTTGTTCAAACCAGAGCATTTTGGATAAAACAAACGGAAGTTGTTGATTGGCTGTTTCATATAATTATGTTTACTGAAAGTAGCAGCAATGTAACCATGTTACATCCCACATGCATGCTCAAAGCACTTCTTTTGTTTTTCCCTTGATCACTGGATGTCAATCTCAGCAGCACATCACATTACATCTCAACTCCCTGAGTATCATACAACTCTCCACAGTTTTACGCCACACTCGGTCTGTAAATAATCGAGTCTGGACCAGACAATCCAGTGATCAAGAGCATGAGCATCAATCTATGTAATTGGGAACCGATGACAAGTGTCGGCCAAGTCAGTGAGTCTGACCAGCCAATCCCGTTAGTAGCCTCTTACGACAAGATTGGGTTACTGAAGATTAATTCTAACCTGGACCTTCACGGGTTGGTGGGGGATCAATGTGGGTCAGGTCTATGTACTGTTTTGTTGTTTTACTTGTTTCTTCGCAAGTTTGTCACTAATTTCATGCATTCAAATGAAGATAATGGCTGCTTTATCCTCAGTGAAACATACCAAATTTTAATCCCCCGCAACTTTGTGTTATGTATGTATAGAAACGAGTTCCGTCCGTGTGTCCATCACACTTTGTCCGAAGCATATCTCCTAAACTATTCGTGATATCTTAACCAAAGTGGGTTAGACCCAGATATGAATTTTATTTTTTGTGGTTTCCATGGAAACATGACTTAGGCTGTGACTGAGGATGTCATCTTGTTGCATTTCCATGGCAACAAGTTAGGCTTCAACTGAATTTGGTGGTAGTGCACCTTTCTGGAGCAGATCTTAAAAACCTTTCAATACTCTGCTTCCACTTTGCTGTATACACTCCAAAACATTTGACATAATCATAACTAGTAGACATTTTCATAAAGAGTATTTTGCCATTGCGGGGGATATTGATGACTTTGTCTTCTTGTTTCTTTTCCCAGAAATATAATCTAAAAGCACAAAATGGCACAATTGTGGGATAGTGATAAAAGTCAGTCATGAAAATGGAAACCCATATTATTGTTTTTAAGACTCCCCTACAGACACATGGTTCACCCGTGTAACCTGAAAACTTACCTCTCATACACCTGTGAGGTAACCACTGAGACAGAGTAGTCTCCCTTTGTATCTGGAGGGGAGAGGACTGCTTGTTGAGATGGGCACTGTATTCCACTGAAGTAACAAAAAACTCATTACCACTATGTCAGTAAACACCTGTAAGCAACTTCATACTTAGGACAGATGCATCTATTCTTGACATGCAAAGATTAAATTCTAGTGGAGCTTTTGTATTAATACAAAAACGTGTTTTTATTCATATTCAACTGTACTTTCACTGTCAAAGAGGTCCATTTTCACCCTAACTGTACTTTCACTGTCAAAGAGATCCATTCTCACCCTAACTGTACTTTCACTGTCAAAGAGATCCATTCTCACCCTACATGTAGTTTCACAGCAAAGCTTACCCCACCTGATGTTTTACTATTGAGCGATATAAGCTTACCCTAGTTTTAGTTCCACTCTACTTGTATTACTTACCCTACTTGTATTTTCCCTGTTCAGAGATCCCAGCTTACCCAACTTGTACTTTCACTGTCAAGAGATCCAGGCCTACTCTCCTGGTAGGTGAGGTGAAATTGGGTTTAGCGTCATGCTTGAGAATATTTCGCTCAGATGACGAAATGCATGCGTGTGTATGTGTATATGCGGCTGCTTGTACTAGCCAAGACTGAAGCTGGTTTTATAGTGCTAGCCCACTGAGATAGCATGCCGCAGTGAAGCATACTGACTCTAAGCCGACCAGTCCTTGTTGTAACCATTAATGCCGAGTGCCAGACAAGGACCAACAAGTACCATATTTTAACGTCTTTTGGAATGACACGGTCGGGGATCGACCCCGCGACCTTCCGCTCTCCAGGCGGACGCTCTAACCACTACATCACGGAGGCGGTCCTCTCCTGGTAGGACTAATCTGTTGCCTGTCATTGACACATTGACTACAAACCTTCCACTAGGGTCTCTGCTTCACGTTGCAGGCTGTCACATGAAGCCAGAATGTACTCCATCATCATCTTGGCCCGCAGTATGGTGCTGGCAGAGGACAGTTCTGGAACAGGATGACAACATCACTAATCTGACGAAAGATCAGGGACATCGCACCACAGAAATGCTTTAGTTTACAGTCAACTCAGGGCTAACTACCTACAGGCCAAGTCTTGAAATGTTCAGGTGTTTCAGTATCTGTTCATGATTATCCACAATTTTACAAATATTGGCGTTAATATTGGAAATACTCAAATTTAAGGTCAATGCATTCAAAGGATCAACACAAGGATTACTAGTGATAGGAAACTAACACACTTAATGAATATTTGTGAACAGTTCATCCTTCTGCTCCAGTTTGTAGGTGAATACATGTGCCTTGACTCTTGAAAGCAGATAGTGTGCCATCATACCCTGACAGCACTTCCTAATCCGCTCAAGCACTGGTTGCGTGGCCTGGAAGTGATTATTTTATAGCTCTTTAATACAGTGTGAACACTGGTCACTCCATGTTGGGCAATATTACCTGTAATGTGGCTGAGCTTCAGGCCTTCCAACAGTTGATGGAGGCGCTGGTATGCGTCTAGACATGACATGGCCCTTGTCTGAATGACAAGGTCACTATCAGGATGGAACTACAATCAAAGAGTATTAGATTTAACATTGTGGTGGGGTAGACCTGTGGTTTAATTCTCTTCATGCTAAGGGCCTTGGTCGGGTAGATGTGGTGTAACTGTAACTGTAACACTCACATAATGAAACACTCAGGCTTGAGTCGTAATGTGTTTCCAGACGGACATGGGAGCCGGAACTCACCTTAGGAAACACTCTTGACCTGAGAAGTCACATGTTTCCCAACTGACATAGGAGCTGAAATTCACCCAATGAAACGCTCTAGACCTGAGAAAACATGTTTCCAGATTGACATGGAAGCTGATACCCATCCCCTGGAGTGAGTGAGTTTTACACCACGTTTAGCAATATTCCAGCAGTATCATGGCATGGGGCACCAGAAATGGGTTTCGCACATGATACCCATGTGGGTGGTGTGATGAGTGAACTCTTTAACCACTTGGCTACCCCACTCACCCCAGGAAACACTCTAGACCTGAGTAGTCATGTGTTTCCAGACTGGCAGCTGAAACTCACCCCACGCTCCAGCCTTTCCAGGAACTCCATCTTTGTGTCAAAGCTGCCCACTTTCTTTGTAACTCTCTGGGTTGCAACCTTTTCCCTCAGTTTCTCATTTGCTGCCACTTTCCGCCTAAATCTACTGGGTATATTTATCTTACCTCTGAAGGAACAAATTCGAAAACATTGTAACATACTGTGCACGCAGCAGACTCATCAAATCATTTCCCCCGAACTCTGCATTACCCATTACTCTGGTTAGTAGGGACCTAACTTCCTGAAAATGGGGTTACTGAATGAGATCAGACTTTCAATGTATATGAATACTATTCTTGACAGATATCGTTCACTCTGAATTCCATTCCCAAATTTGACAAAAGAGTGCACCATTCTGAGGGCAAAATTAATACCACATTAATTATATGTCAAATTGTATCAGTATTTCTCAGATAAACAACAGTCAGATAGGTTTACAGGAGAATATGACATCATCCATTGTATCATGACATTATAGCATTCCAGTTTGTAATGTCTAGTAAATTTGTACATGGTGAGAAAAAGTTTATCATCTTCATACCCATCTTGTTGCAATGTGAACCTCTTTTCTTGTACATCTGCTTCAGATACTTGCAGGCCTTCCATTTTGTTTGATAGTCTATCTGCTGGATTAACTGACCCTGTAAGGGGATAAACATGTGGGCTATCTGCAGTCTGCACGCTTATTGCTTTTGGGTTAACTGGCTTTGATGGGGGCTCCACATGTGGGTTATCAAATGTCTTGACATTACTTGCTGCTTGGACAAGTGGAGGAGATGCTACATTCTCACCCAATGTCTGTGTGTTAGTCAAGCCTGTTTGTTCTTGTGTATTGGTTACATGTCTGTCATAGTCACTGCTAGTTGATTTGGAACCGACAGGTTTAGTCATCCCAGTTTTCACATTACTGTTAATGTGCTCCGTTAATTTGGGTCTTTGACTTTTGGTCCCACCACTTCCTGGCCGTGTGGTTGAATGTCCCTTGTGGACCGCCATGGCAGCTTTGGAAGTGGATGTCTTTGGTACTCTGACATTGGGATCTGTTTTGAAAGGTGCTTTAACATGAGCTGAGTATGTTCTCCCACTGCTTGGTCTGGGTGGCTTTGATACAGATGATCTTTCCTTCACATTTCTGTCATGTGACATGTTGTGTGAAGCATTTCTGTTATGTGAAGAGTTTCTGCAAAGAGATCCACTAGCAGTTGAATCACTCCTGCCACGTGATGCTGTTTTTGTGTGAGAAGAACTACGACTATTGGAAACACTCTCACTTTGTGAAACATGACTGCCCCCTGAAGCACTTTTTATTTGAGAACTTCTGGCATGTGAAGTACTTTCAACACGAAAAGAGTCTTTAGTATGTGAAACACTGTTGACCTGTGAAGAGCCTCTGGGTTGTGATGCAACTGTATTCTCAGAAACTTTCCTAGTCTTGTCTGAAGGACAATTCTCTTTTGGATTTGTCGTTCCTTGCAAAAGTTCATTTCTAACTTCATGTCTGATCTTATTAACGATGTTGAGATTCTCCTGTGAGCAGATACCGTATTCTATATCGGTCTGTTCTTGTTCTCCTGCCTCCCCGTTGTCTTCCTTCTCCTCAGACAGTCTTCGGGCACCTGACCTCCTCTCTCGGGTCTGTTTAGTATCAATCTGAAAACAAAGAAGCCATAATTTGGAACATATTGTCTTGGAAACGTATTTGTATATCCATCAGAATAAACTTAGCAGACAGTCCTTCAGACTAAAAGTCACTTTCACCTTAATTCAAAAAGCAGATCATAGAAACAGACCTTAAAATTCTATTAGTCTTAAGTAATGATATGTACACAATCCTATCCAATTGTACAATTGGCTGATTCCTTTCATAGATTTGAACTTATTAAACAGGCTGTCATTTATTAGACTAACCATCTGTAGGAATGCCCTACATCAGATGTTTTAATGTAAACAGGTATACACTATTACTCTATAGGTGAAAAATAAACAACCTCCTTGCTTCTTAACACAAATATTTTCCAAAATACATATGTCAGCTTCATTTCTTAACACAAACTCTTTTTGTTTGCATAGGCCTGCTTCATTTCTTAACACAACTGTTTTTGTATGCATCATCCTGCTTTACCTTTTTCTGGACATCCCTGGCTTTCTGTGCCCTGTTGAGAAACTTCTCCACCAGGTCGAGCTCGACCTGTTCCTGAACAGGAACAGCCTGTTGACCTGTACAACACACAGTGACTGAAAGAGGGTCTTGTTACATGTTAGTAGTCCGTATCATTTGGGGCTGTTAGTCAGCAGTCATTATGTTTCAGTTCAGTAAAAAGCAACACTTGACTAGAGAACAAGTTGTCAACGTGAAATATCAAATGCACTTGCACATCACCAGTCCCTCTACAGGGAAACATTGAGGCAGTTGGTTCTGCTTTGGAGTTAATGCTGCAAATCATGGTTGGAAAATACCAAAGTTGGTTGCAGCAGTGGATCTAGTCATGGAGTAAACTACAGCTGTAATGAGCACAGAAATTCACAATCACAGCATTCTATTGTATCATGACACCTCCCGTAAACAGTTTAGCCTTGACTAGGCAGACTAGTAGCAAAAAGGAAAGTTTCATTTTATCATCCAAGCCTTGCAGCCTGACAGTCCCATCCAATATGGCAGCCTCTGATAACAAGCAATAAGGAGTGCTGGGGAACTATTCAAATGCAGGTGCTACATTATTTTGAACTTCAACATACCTGCACTGCCTTCACTTGCATCCTTCTCCTCACCATCTTCAGATGAACCTTTCTTCTGACTTGGCCTGTGAGGTGCAACATAAAACACCCACATGTTATTGTCAACCAACCACCTTCTCACAAATGTAATCTGATTTCTACAGGAACACACACACCACGATATCAATCAACTACAAACTTTATACTGTTTATACTACAGTATCACAAGCCCATGAAGAATGAGATGAAGCTCAGAGTTGTTTGAAACCCGTGAAGATCCGGGTTAGAATAGGTTTTCAGCACCCATGATTGTCAGAAGAGGCAACTAAGGGGTTCCAGGTGGTCAGCCTCGCTGGGTTGACACATGTCATCATATCCTGATTTGATAGACTGATGCTCATGCTGTTGATCACTGGATTGACCAGGCCAGATTTGATTATTTACAGACCACCACTATGTAGCTGGAATATTTTCTGTCTCACTTTTTGTCTGTCAGGTTTCACTTTGACAATACCGACAGTTTATTTTCAGTACATTAGGCCCTCAGCCCACAATACTAGCAAAGTATTGATGAGCACATAAAATGAAAGTGAATGTTGAAGTCACAAGGGATGTGACTACAAGGTGAAGTGCCTGTAAAATGTCAATATTGTACTAAACAGAATGTTTCACCTTGAGCTTCTGAGTTGCCTGACACCTAGAAAAAAGCACAGATTCTTTGTACAAAATTCCTAGCAATGATGCAAATCATACATTCTGTATTCTATCTATTTAGTTAATAAACTGATTAATATATTTCCTTCTAAATTCCTTACACAAGATTCATTTAAATAATACATGGATTTCATTTTCAATAAAATGCATACAAAGTAACTTACAGTCAGACGATACTTGCTGTTCATATGTGAACCTGTGCATTTTCAAAATTACTACATATAATTTTGCAAGTAAGGATTTAAAATACACATATAGAGATAGCTTTCTACATTTAATATTGATTTATGATAGTGGTAATTATAAGAATGAGACAGACCGGTGAGGAAGGAATTCCACAGTTTTAGTCTAATTAATGTATCCTGTGTTGTACATTGAGCATCATCAAGTGATTTTAACTCTTTTAAACTGGAGAGGTTGTCAGCTGGATTCTAAGTGGATCAGTCTACACCAGTATTTAATGACTCTTAACATATAAGAACACTCTCGGTGGTTACTGATATTTTTACATCAATCAACAACCATGCACAGAATATATTTTGGAAATCTTCTGTTTCTTTACAATATGTTTTACCCCTTACCTCTGATCCATAGCAAATTAAAGAGAGTGAGTGTGTTTAGTTTTACGCCGCACTCAGCAATATTCCAACTATATGACGGCAGTCTGTTAATAATCGAGTCTGAACCAGACAATCCAGTGATCAACCGCATGAGCATCAATCTGCGTAATTGGGAACCGATGACATGTGTCAACCAAGTCAGCGAGCCTGATCCCGTTAGTCGCCTCTTATGACAAGCAAGGGTTACTGAAGGTCAATTCTAACCCATACCTTCACGGGTCCATAGAAAATTAAAGGCAAAACAGTAACATTAAACATTCTGAATAGACTACAGTGCCATAGCAGCCTTACTGGCCTGGGAAACTAAACACTTATTAGGGCTGGTCCACACAAGCCTCGGGTAAAACACAACCCCAAAATACTTATAGGAAGAACCAACTCCAACCCCTTACCTGTCCATTGTGATGTAAGGGTGCAGAGTCTCTGATAAAGAACCCTTATTCCAGGTACAAAAAAAGGCATTTACTCTCCTCTGTCACTCCAAAGCTGTGTCTGCAACCCCTGACACATCATTGGCAAACATCAAGGCAAACAAACTTTCTATACAGATACTGATACCTTCAAGCCATATTTCTCCAAATTAGAAGACACAGCCCTGCCAAGTACCGATATTACCCCTGAATGATGATGTTAGGCCGGGTGCTGTTCGAACACATGAAGGGGATAGCCTAATGGCATCGATCTGCGCAATTGGGAACCGATGACATGTGTCAACCAAGTCAGCGAGCCTGACCACCCGATACCATTAGTCACCTCTTACGACAACCATGGGTAACTGAAGATCAATATTTGACACTGAATCTTCACAGGTCGGGGAACATAAAGAAACATCGAGGGTACATCAACCCATGGGCCCCAAGGGACAGGTCGGGGAACATAAAGAAACATCGAGGGTACATCAACCCATGGGCCCCAAGGGACCAGTCAACAATGTATTTATCTTAACTAAATGGTAATTTTGAACTGTTTGAAGCCCAGGTATCAGATCATAGTATGGAGTACCAGACGACAAGAAAAACAATTTAGAGTTATCTCCCTTCCATCTATTTGCATTCGCAAAACATCGATAACTTCCGTACATCATACGTGATTCAATGTTATTTGAGATAAAGAATTACTACTATGAAGTACCAAATAAGTTCGGCATTCCCAGCAGGGTACATAGAAAATGTTACTCACTTGTAAGCGAGGGTACATTGAAAATAATAGAAGAGTGTTCAGCCAATCAGAAAATGACATTTATGAGTGAGGCAAGATAAAATAGTTTACCACTTCTACCAATATTTTTCAAATATTTATATTTATTTATAAACTAGAAATCAAAATTGAACTTCTTTATTTTACAAAATGAGTTTCTAAGAGAAACCCCTCTGTAACTGTTAAAAATGGGTCAGTCTTCATACCATAAGTAAAAAAAAGACATATGATGTTAATGGCCACCAGTCTGGAAACATCTGGTCAAACAATTGGGCTAGCGCTGGCAGAATGACCAGAATTCTGAACAAATTCTATTGCAACACCATCTGGTTCTGGTGCTTTATTGAGGTTTATTGACGTGCATTTTTACTTCTTGCTCTGAAACATCATCATATAGGATGCTTAAACATACACCATGTACACTATCATCTACTGGTACAGACATATCACTGTTACTGTAATTCTGTGACATATAATATGCAACATCATATTAATGTAATGTTGAGTCAGTGTTTAAAACTCCCAAAATTCCAAGCCAGATAGCCGGACTGGTAACTTAAAAAAATTACCAGTCTGGATACAAACTTGCCTGTCTGGTTTTCAACAGTGAAAAAAAATAATAATCAGGTTTCTAAATACTTTACTGTTTGTAGACATCACAATGAACAACATAGCACTAACAGGCAATGCACCGAGTTTAGGTAAACTGAAAGTATATGTGCAGTGATTGGTTATTGTAAAATGAACTGTCTAATCATAAATAGTTTAACATAATTATCATAATACCTTAAACACTTCAAACTGACTACAGGGGAACCTGTCTGATATTATGAAATATTTACTGTTAGGGGTAAAAACATCTACCAGACCAACGGACAGGCAGGCAGGAATTTTAAAAGCTGGTTGAATATACTGATTTGGCCAAAACACATCATAAACCTTTGAAAAGTACTTTAATGCAGTACCCAAGACAACTCAGGGATACCTAGCTGGTCATTCTTTCAATGTGTATACATAAATTAACAGTAGCAGCTGTGATTAAACATTGAATATTCTTTAAAGTCTTCCACTAAATGAAATGTTTGCATAGTTTCAGCCACAACAGAAGGTATGGGATTCGGTCAATAAGCTTTCTATATTCATGAACACACCTCACATAGTAATTTTTCCATTAATAAATCCAATAAAAGGTATCAGCACATACTTCATGTCTTATTTCTATAAAGCCATAATGGAGGACTTTGATACTATAACATATTGCTACTGGATATACTGACTTAGTTCTTTGTTGTTGTGAATATAAACCAGATTGACACTCCAGCTGTTGGTGGCACAGATGTGACAGGCCGTGAGTGCAGAAAGGGTTCTCTCTGTAGTTATACACTATCCTGGGATTAAACATGGATTCCAAACAAAGCGTCCCTAGGAAGAAGAGTCCCACCACACTGTACCTCACCTTAATACATAGTAGGGCTGGCTAAGATGTTTGATGAGAATGCTGTTTTGTCAGTAATCCATGCATAAATGCGTCACCACTTACCAACCGACTTGAAATATGTGGATTTCTTTGGGACTTTTTTTCATATTTTTGCTGTCCAATATTTATTGATCATTACCTCTATGATCTATACTCATAGCCATCCCAAACATGCAGTCAACAGTTTCAAAACAGTTACTGTCACCACTGGTTTTCAAATATTTTCTGTGTAAATACTACTAAATATCACTAAATCTATCCGATCTAAGGAGGGGCATACATGCCAAAGTTCAACTGCTTTAATCTGGCAACTGCAGCGGAGAAGACATTTTCAGAACAATAAGAAAATGAAAGACCAAGGTCATACAAGGCAAAATCATAACACATTGCAAAGAAACATAAGATATTGCAAGCAAACATGTAATTTTTTGAATAAAATTGATATTTTATACTTATCCTGACTCATGCTTATTTGCTTGTCTTCTTCCTCTTGCGAACATAGTGGAACACTCATCTCCTTATTGAAGTTCCTTTCAACAAAAACTTACGTAAAATCACTACTCACCAGAGTTATCTCTGTTTCCGGTTTTGGCGGGAAAAGTGGCGCCACTGTTTCCCCACGCTTCACTCTCTCCTGATAATGAGCCTGACACTTGAATTTGCAGGGAAATCCAAAAGTGTCTAGTAGGGAGGTTGGGAGGGCTTACCTCACGAGTCAGGATAAGTATAAAATATCAATTTTATTCAAAAAATTACATAGTTTTCCTTATCCTGACTCATGCTTATTTGCTTGTAGAATCCGACGGATTTGGAGGCGGGAAAAAATACTTTAGGATTTCGTGTAGTGATTTACGTCAATATATACCCCCTTATGGGAACTTCGTATTGGCACTGTGCTAATCTCTGCTGCTGTTTGTCACCCTGTCCTTTCAGCTGCCTTTTGATGGGGGGACCACAATTGTTAACTTTTGGTCCTTTCTCTGTTAACATTTTTATGTGGATTTTGCGACTCCATTTCTTGATGCAAGCACCAAGTGGAGAAGCGACCCTTTCCTGTACGAGTATTCTTACAAGTACT